ACGTTTGGCTGTTGTTCATTTCGAAGGAAGAGCACTTCAATGGCACAGTGCTTATGTTAAAACCATCGGATTACCCAATTTACCTTCTTGGTCAGAATACACTAGTCTTTTGGTTGACAGGTTTGGCGACGTCTGTGATGATCCTATGGCCGAATTAATGAAACTATGACAACAAGGGTTAGTTACAGATTATCATGAGGCATTTGATTTTATTGTTGCTCGGCTGAGTTTACCTGTTGAACACAAACTGAGTTGTTTCCTTGGAGGGTTAAAACAAGAGGTTCAAATGATGGTATGCATGTTTCAACCTGATTCTGTGCAGAGAACATTTTCCTTAGCCAAACTATATGAATCCAGTACCAATTCCACCACAGTCTCAAAATCATTTTCTAAGCCATTTAAACCTATCCTTGCCAATAAATCCCCTATACTGCCTCACCCACCTAAATCTTTGGACACCTTCAAACCTAAACCACAAGTTACAAAAAGCCTTACCCCAGCTTATATGAGTGAGCGGCGTGCCAAGGGATTATGCTACTTTTGTGATGAACCCTTCACTATAGAACATAGTCTAATCCACAAAAAATTACAAATTCATGTTCTGGAAGTTGAAGAAATGACAGAAACCTTGGATGATTTGTCCCTTGCTGCAGAAATTGTGGAGCATGACACTGCTGACCCTGTAATATCGGTGAATGCTATGACTACTCTAACTAGCTTTAAGACTATGAGAATCACTGGTTATGTTGGCAAGAAACCTTTGCATGTGCTCATTGATAGTGGCAGCACTCATAACTTCTTGGACATTGAAGTACCTAAGAAGCTTGGCTGTAAAGTTTCCCCAGTGCAACCTCTGAATGTCACAGTTACGGATGGCACTAAAGTTACAGTCTCTTCTAAGATTACAGGATTCTCTTGGACAATTCAAAGTACTAAATTCCATTCTAATGTTATGTTAATTCCCCTAGGGTGCTGTGATTTGGTGTTAGGAATTGAATGGCTTGTGATATTAGGGGATATTACATGGAACTTTGATAAGTTGTCAATGCAGTTTTTTGTCCAAGGCAAGAAACATGTCCTAAGAGGGGCTACAACTAATGTTAAAACTGTGAGGAAACAGCAATTGTCCAAGGCCTTGGAAAGTAGTGTACATTTCTCCATGATACAACCTTGCAGCTCAGAAACTGGTTTACTGCATTCTTTGACAACACACGCTCCTTAAACTAATATCTCTAGCGATTTCGAGCAATTATTGCTGGAATTTGAAGATATTTTCCAAGAACCAACAGAACTGCCTCCTTCAAGAGATAGACATGACCACAGAATCCCACTTGTGCAAGGGGCCAATCCCATTAGTAAGCGACCTTACAGATATGGGAAACTACAGAAAGATGAAATTGATAGATGGTATTATATAGCACAGTAACAGTCCCTATGCAAATCCTGTAGTTTTGGTTGGAAAAAAAAGATGGGTTTTGAAGGCTATGTGTGGATTATAGGGACCTTAATAAAAATACAATCAAAGACAAATTTCCCATTCCTTTGGTGGATGATCTTTTAGATGAACTGCATGGATCTGTGATTTTTTCCAAGATCGATCTCAGAGCTAGATATAACCAAGTTCGAATGCATCCAATTGATGTGCATAAGACTGCTTTCAAGACACATGGAGGCCATTTTGAGTATTTAGTTATGCCATTTGGGCTAACCAATGCCCCTGCGACTTTTCAGGGATTGATGAATGATATCTTTCAGGAGTTTTTGAGGAAATTTCTCCTTGTCTTCTTCGATGATATATTGCTCTACAGTGCTAGTTTACAGGATCATTTGCTACACTTAAAACTGGTACCACGGGTGGAATATTTGGGCCATTTTATCTCAGCACAGGGAGTGTCAACTAATCCAGCTAAGGTTTCAGCGGTTACCCAGTGGCCATTACTGCAAAATCGAAAACAATTAAAGGGTTTTTTGGGACTCTCGGGTTATTACAGGAGGTTTGTTAAGGGATATGGTGTTATTACTACGCCATTAACTGACATGCTCAAGAAGGATAATTTTACTTGGACCCCTGCGACAAAATTAGCTTTTCAGTCTTTAAAGGAGAAACTTGTGGCAGCTCCTGTGTTAGCTTTGTCGGACTTCACAAAAAAATTTGTTGTTGAAGTGGATGCTTGTGGGTATGGTTTGGGGGCTGTGTTGATGCAAGATCACCATCCCTTGGCCTTCATTAGTAGGAGTTTGAATCTTCAGTAGCAATCACTCTCTACTTATGAAAAGGAGTTGTTGGTCGTGATATTTGCAGTTCAGAAATGGCGACATTATTTGTTGCCTAAGAAGTTCATTATCAGAACTGATCATAGGAGCCTAAAGTACATTCTTGACCAGAGATTAACTACTACCTTCCAGCAGAAGTGGCTTGTCAAGCTCTTGGAATTTGACTTTGATATTGAATATAAACAAGGAAGAGATAATGTAGTGGCAGACGCTCTTTCTAGATTGGATTTTGAGGATTCACTGGCATGCCAACCTATGCAGGTTCATCAGCCCGATTCCGACCTGCTGCAAAGAATAAAATTGTCTTGGCAAACTGACCATTCTCTACAGAAAGTAATTTCAGAAATCCAGCTTCTCATAAGCACTTTGAATGGAGGAGGGATGAGTTAAGAAGAAAGGGTAAGTTGGTGGTAGGCAAGGATGATGAATTAAGGAAGAATTTACTTCAATAGCTGCACGAATCAACTGTTGGTGGGCATTATGGAAGAGATGTTACCCTCAAAAGATTGAAGGCTGTCGTATATTGGCGAGGCCTCACTAAGGATGTTAAAACTTTCATCCAAGGATGCAGAATATGTCAAACTTGTAAACCAGATAATTCTCCCTACCCGGGCCTGCTGCAACCTCTTCCAATTCCAGATCATGTTTGGCAACATATCACCATGGATTTCATTGAGGGATTGCCCAACTCTTATGGTAGACAGGTCATTTTTGTTGTAGTTGACAGATTGAGCAAAGCGACCCATTTCATGGCCCTTTCTCATCCATTTTTTGCGTCGGATGTGGCCCAATCATTTTTGGATAATGTCTTTAAATTGCATGGCTTTCCAGACACGATCACTTCTGACAGGGATCCTATTTTTATTAGTAAGTTTTGGCAAGATCTTATGGCTTACCAAGGTGTAAAGGTTCAGTTATCCTCAGCTTACCATCCACAAACCGATGGTCAAACTGAGGTAGTGAATAGATGTGTAGAAACGTATCTGAGATGTATGTGTTCTGACAAACAAAAAGAGTGGTCTAAGTGGTTGGCACTTGCTGAGTGGTGGTATAACACTAGCTTTTATAGTAGTATTCAGGCCACTCCCTATGAAATTGTATTTGGCCAACCCTCTCCTGCATATCTTCCATATCTGCCAGGAGAGTCTAATATTGAGTTGGTAGATAGAAGCCTTTAAAAGAGGGAAGAGATGCTCCGATTATTGAAGTTCCACATGAAACGTGCTCAGGAGAGGATGAAGCAACTTGCTAACAAGCATTGGACCGACAGGAAATTTCAAGTTGGGGATAGGGTTTATGTGAAATTACAATCTTATCAGCAAGTTTCAGTGGCGTTTAGGAGTAGTGTTAAGCTAGCTCCTAAGTTTTATGGACCTTTTCTCATTATGGATTGTGTAGGACCAGTTGCATATAAATTAGAATTGTCAGCTCAATCTCAAATTCATAATGTTTTTCATGTTTCTCAACTGAAAAAACATGTCGGTAATGTCTCTGTGTCTGGTACAATACCATCTGCATCAGTGTTGGAAGATACTGCAAGAGAATCTAAAGCTATTTTGGATGGGATGACAGTGAAAAGAGGGAATTGGGCGGTGACCAAGGTACTTGTAAAATGGAAACATCAGTTACCCGAGGAAGCAACTTGGGAATTCTACTTTGATTTGAAACAGAAGTTTCCTCAGTTCAATTCTTGATGTCAAGAATGTTGTTAAGAGAGAGGATTTGTTATAGGCAATTATAAGTAGGAGTTATTTTTGTAAATCTTATTAAGTAGGGATTATTTTTATAAATTCTGTTGTGTGGATACCCTATATATAGATGTTCACAACAGAATTTAAGGCAGGAAATAACAAAACTTTCTGCACTATCATTCTTTTGTAATTTAAACCAAATTCATAAAATGTTTTGGGTTCCATTCCAATTCCTAAAATCCCTATTATCCAAGTTCTTCGTTTTTCTAGATTCCTAGAAATGCTATAAGAGAGTGGCTAAAGTACACATATATGTCCGTACAATTTCATGATCACCAAGGCAAGTAAATTAGGATTAGGTTTCATTGTCTATTTTTTATCTTCATATTTAGAATTACTTTTTTTTCAAATGTTTTAAGGCTTCTTTAATTTATGAATATTTGTTTAAAAAAAGAAAGAGGTTGCTAGTTGAAAGTAAAATATTCATGCTGCCCCTGCTTCGCATTTCATGAACAAAAACAGTACAAAAGGGAAATATAAATAAGGGCATTTTTTTTCAAGTGTCATTCTTTCGCCAGTTTTAAATTTCTGAATTTTCTGGGCTAACATCTTTATGGATGAATATTAAAAGATAAAAAGGCCGAAATTATGAAGAAAAAAAAATCCTCACACATTTTTATATATGTATATATCTGTTTCAGACATGCATTTTATGATTTTATATAATAGCTTTGATATTAAAGATAATATTTTTTTGGTACTTATCTTTTTAAATATTTACTAAAAGATTTACTATTTGATGAATCTTTTTATCAATTCAATATTATTTTAATGTATATTACAAAGTAACGTTATATGAATTAATCATATATAAACAATACAAAATATCCATTCATAACTACGCTAGTTTCAATTATGATCCAAATAAATCTTATCGCCCTTGTTAATGAGAAATATATGTAGCAATACAGCTATCTTCAGCTTTTATTCTTTTGCGGGTTCTGTTGACAATTAACCATAGTGATCCCATTATTAAATCTTGAGGATTTCTTTGTGCAATTGTATCCGATGTCCATGCAGGTGGAATTTAATTGTCCAGTCTAAATGCATGTTTTTATACAATGCTCAAACAAGTGTCAAGACAACTCTCTAAGCTTGACCAGAAAACAAAATACAACTGACTCTTACTATTCACACTTCAATTAATAGATATTTGAGAATGAGGGTTTATCACATGGTACATTTTGAATACGAATACTAACTTTTGTTGAAAAAACAAAAATTTAAAAACGCAAAAATGTACTAAGATCCTACTCCAATCTTATACTCCAGGTTGCCATGATGATTGTGTGGTGAATTTATAAGGGACTTACCAATATGCATCTGATATGAGTAACAGTTGCTAATCCCTGTGACAAGTCCCCATTACATGTTCATTTCAGGCCCTACCTACAGGAGAGAGAGGTGGATAAGAAACATAACTGGCTGGAATATCCTCCAATTTACCAAAAGCCTTTAGATCCTCACTTTGAACCAATAGTGTTTCCCTTGTGTTTTTTCCTTCAATGGAGTTTCTTGATCCAGAAAGCTCATAAGACATCTTGCTCTCTACTAACGCTATGCAAATGGAGAATGCTTGCAATAGTGAGAGTGAAGAATCAAAGGCTATTGAGTATATTCCATGCTTAAAGTGCGTAAAAGTGAATGCTGGTGGCAGCTCTTGTTCATTCCCCTATAATTAGCAAGGAAAGAGATAAATGGAGAACATTACTAATCAATCAATAATAATGCATGCAAAATAATTTTAACTAACGAAGGTTACCTGGACAAAAAGATCAAGTTGATCCACAAAATAAGCTTTGGATGATTTTGGTTTTCTACAGGCTTGATTTTCACTTGCAAGAATTTTCAGTTTGCAAGCTAAATCCCAACCACCGCAGTCACATGATCCACCTGATTTCCAGCGCTGGATCAGCGACGATGGTCCACCTTTACTTGGAAGACTATGAATCCCACCTGGGAGAACAACAGTTGCTTGGAGATGGTCTTGACCATCACTTTGGCAACTGCTCTGATGCTGATCATTGATGAAATTAATAGCTTTAGGAATTTTGACAACAATAGCAGCAAGTTCATCGTTCAGTTGATAGTCATTCCTTTGAGCATCATCCTGCTCTAGCTTTAGGGAAAACAAAACAAACTCTTTCACAGTAGAGGAGTCCATGCAGTTCCGGCTGGTTAAATCGTAGTTGTGTGAATCAGAAACCTTCATTTGGGCAACAACATGGGGAATGTAATCAGGACCTTTGCTTCTGCTCCTGCCTGCTTGATTCATCCAACTTCCATTCTTCTTCTTAACCTCTTTGAAGGTGAAAAAAGTATAGATACAGTTGCATTCATCTTTTTCCAAGGCACCTAAGTTCTTCACTGTGGCTGCAAGAATGTTGCTATCAGTGTGGTCAACAGCAAATGTGAAAAAGGGCATGCCATTCCTCACAGCAATTCTCAGCAGAGCTTGAGTCATTGATGGGACGCACTTCTTTTCCTTTAATGAATCAATGGTGTTAACTTGGCTGCAACCAACCCTATGTCCCTTGTCCACTTCTTTGTCTGGCTGTAGAGTTGATAATTTCCCATTGGCTGGCCTATAATCCTTCAGTAGCACTGAATCCTTTTGAGATAACTCCAAGGAGTGACGACTCTTTGCTGTCTTTGATTTCAGCAATGGATCCAGTAACCTCCTTAACGGGCTTGATCTGCTTCTGCCTGTGTCACTCAGTTTATCATTGCTTGAGTAAGCATAACCTCTCACATTTTCTGAACTAGATTTAAGTGCTGCTACAGAATTCTGATGAGGCAAATGCTCAACCTCTTTACTAGAAGAGCCTTTGCTTGAATAGCCAATGCTGAAGCTTAATCGATGAAAAGGTGAAGAGCTTCTTGACTTTTCAGATGTTACTTTCTGGTCTAATACAAGGAGTGGGCCATTTGCAGATGAATTTTTGGCAATGGCTTGTTTCCTTTCCTCATCTTTTCTACATCTGGATGGGCTTACTCCCATTTTGACTGATAGAGGTGATGATAAAGTAGACATGGGTGATGAAAAAGTAGAAGCAGGAAGTTTGATGCTTTCCAGATCCATAGAACTGCACCCTGACTCTTTACGCTGAGAATGATCACAGCTGAGTTCATCTAGAGGAAGAGAGGAGTGTGAAATATCATAATGGATGTCTCTAGGACATAGTTCCTTAGGCTTTTCTGTAAAACTCATTCGACTATAATTTTCTGCTGTCTGAACTAAAGATGTTCGGGAAGGAGGAACTCCACAATGACTATTTCGAGGGTGGTCTTTAAGAGTAGGGGTATGAGGAACTCCACAATGAGTATTCCGAGGGTGGTCTCTAGGAAAATAAACATCTGGCTTGCTTTTCCTGGGTGTTACGTGCACAACAGAACCAATATTTGGTTCTTTCAAAGTCTCCACTCTTTTTCCCAATGCACCATTTTGAGTGAAAATTCCCAGCCTAGCACATGATGCAGTCCCATGCATTTGATCATTTGGAAAGATGCCACTTTCCTTATCAACATATGGGTCCAAGTATTTCCTGTCACTTCTTTTCAGTTTACTCTTAGGCTGCTTAGGGGAAAGATGATCGTCTGGTCTAACATATTTGCTCTGTGTGTCAATATTACCATGGCTACCTCTGAAATTCTGACAATTGGCAACACTCTCTCTCGAGGATTTGAAGGCTTGGGAGTGGCCTTGCATTGGAGATGCCATCAAATGAGATTGCAGTGATGTATGGAATATTCTTTGATCAGAAGGATAACAACTACGACCTCTGCTAGCATTACCAGGTAACTCATCTGTCGAAACAGAAGATGATGTAGAATTCCTGCCACTTTTATGTGACACATGTTTATGACAGTATTGCCATTGTTCTAGACGCCCCCAATCAAGAACCCCCACATTTAAAACTTTCTCACGATTTGGTTTCCCCCTCTCCAAATAACATGGCAACTTTGACATGTACTTAACCAACTCATCTTCTTCATTTTCTCTGCCATAATTCCCATGCTTGTGCTGATTCCGATAAGATTTTAAAGTGCTGTCTTCCTCACTTCTTTTAATTTCACGAGAATGATCAGCATATGACAAAGAAAACTTCTCTGACTTTAACTGGTCATAAAGCTTCCTACTCATGCTGACAGATAGTTCGCTGAAAATTATTTCAGATTTGACAACTATCATCAATTTTCTGAGCTCCAGCCATTGGACCAATCCACCACCTTCTTATCTTTGAGAGAGATTGCAGCCTGAAAAATACTGTTGCTTGCTTTTCTTCTGCACAATTGGATTATATTAAAACATCAAACTTCCAATTCCAAAACCAAGTTAAATGAATTATTGCTTTTTGCGAAAGAGAAAAACATTCAGCGGAGTCTTACGTAAACCAAATACAAAATCAGTAAGTACTAAGTATCATAACTACAGCACAATCAGATTTATACGGTACTAAACTAGATCAAAGACTTGAAAAGCAAAAACCATGCTAAGAGTTCATAAGACAGAAAAACTTATGCTAAACAAAGCAGAATAAGGCCCTAAGAAAGATCCTCTCCGGACAAGTGGACAAATGCTCCCTCTTCCCTTACCTCTCATCTCTGTGCAGACAGAGATATTAAGGGGCAAAGGCTGTGGGGCTGAAGTAAAGCTATTTTCATCAATGCATGGTCTTTCTTCTTTCAATTGATTTTAATATTAAAACACGTGACTGAGGTGACATAACATAGTCTCAAGATGAGAAAAACTATAGAAGTTGTGCACGAAGGCAAAGAGTTATGTATGGAAAATAGACTAAAAGCTAAAACACAAGCCACAACCAAGAGGAAGTGGTCCATGCAAAATGACGCAAACCCATTTTGAAAATGTAAAAGATAAGTCACATGGACCCGTCTTAATCTGAAATCAAGGTGTCACAAAACTAACGGAAGAGACAAACATCCCCAGCTATTAAAAAACTCTTAGTTGCAGGCATCACAGTAGAACTTCAGAATCAAATTGCAGAACAAGTCTCCACCTTGAAAGGGAAAAAAAGATAAGATTGCACATGCCAAGGCTTTCACAACTTAAAAAAATCTTTTTTTGCCTAATTTTCTCAGTCCCAGTTACCAAACATTTACCAGAAAGTAGTGTAAATTATGCCCCGCAACAACACAAAGGTGAAATTAGCTGAAACCAAATTTGAAGGTGGGAAAACATACCTGAGGGGCAACGAAGGTGAAGAGTGCAGAGAAAGTGGTCAAGCTTGGAGGTGAAGCAAGTAGTGTCGGTGTTGCAAAAGAACATTGCATTTGGCAACAAAGATAATAATGGAAGAGATAAAGAAGATAATAATGTCGTGGATATACCAAAGACCTCCCTTTTCTTCCTCAGTTCAGAGAATATCACCTGAAACAAGACACCTAGCTCAAAGACGCGTACACACTTATAGAGAGAGAGAGAGAGAGAAGGAGTTGAAATGAGGTGATTTGTTTTTATGTGTGAATGAGTGTGTGCCACTGCTACTACCACTCCTAGTAGCTGTTTGAGACACTGACAAAGGTTAAACTGAAACCTCTTATGGGATGCTATGTTATGAAAAGTGGTAAATATAAAAAGGTTAAGCCTCTTAACTTTATTGTTTTGTTTAGTTTAGGGGAAACGTAAGTGAGACACTTTTTAATATATTTATAATTATTAATTAAAATTATAAAAGTTCCTCTTAATTTAGTTTAATTTAACATTTCTCTGTGATGCTCACATGCAAAAATTAACTCTATTTAACATGTGTAAGAGGAAAAGGAGGGGCCCATTGTTTTCCTCAATCCAAGGGCTAGAAGCTATGGGTAAAATAATCGGACGGTGATGCTATCACAATGTGACAGGCGCGGAGACTAAAGAGAGAGAGTGTGTTTCTAGGCCCCACGTGAAGCCTTATTTTATAGGCTTTGCCTTTGATTCTCTTTTGAGAAGAAGTTTTGATTAAACTCGTGGGCCCGTCTGCCGAAGGGAGTGAGTGGTGGGCCACGTGGGACCCACTTAAGTCCTCTCTCTCTCTCTCTCTCTCTGTCTCGTATCTGGGCCGTTAGATTGGGCTCGAGCTGGGCTAGAAGAGGCTTTGTCGTTTTCTGTTGTCCTTATTGAGATCAATTATGATCGCCTTTAACTCTTTCTTTCGTTTTCTTTATTTTGATAATAATTTCATCATTGCCAGTATTCGCGTTTTATTGGATTATTCTCTTCTTTTATCTTTGACGTTGGCTTCGGCCACTGCAAGATGTAGCTGGCTTTCATTTTGGGATCCATATTTTCTGCCCTTTTAGCATGAATTGGAACTTATAGTACATTTAAGTAAATTTAAATTTATTTAAATAAAATATATAAAAAGGAAATTTTACTTATATTTGTAAAATTTGCTTAAATAAAAAAAAATTACTTAAAAGAGAGAAAAGAACAAGAGAGAGGAAAAAGAGTGGAGAGAGGGGCTAGTTGGCAGCTAGAAGAGTGGGAGGAGAAAGGAAAAAGAAAACAAAGAAAGTGCACTTTTTTAAAATTAATTTAATAAAAAAAACGACAAATTCTGTCATTCATGTTAAAATTTCAAGTTTGTAAGTAATTACATATATTTCATTACAAAACACAAAGAAAAAACAGCTATTTGCTTGTGAGAATGGCATAATGTACATATATAACAGGATATTAAATATTAAACATACATTAACGTGACTTTGCCTATAAACTCGCAAAAGACTGAATGAGAAGGACTTCAGTTCAAAACTCTTAAAATTAAACTGGTTTATGTCATCTCTGTTTGCGTGATTATCACCCTTGCATGAACATATATCATGTAAACTTCTTGTGATGCATAAGACACTAGAACGTATGATGTGGAACCAAATTTGCACTTTTAGTTGCAAAGTGAAATTATCTTAATTATTATTAAAGATAGAGAGGGGGGAAATATTCCCCTTTCGAGGCCGCGCTTGAGATTAAAGTTGTTGGCATTATGGAAAACAAAACCAAAGGGAATAAGAAAACATAGGAAAAAAAGAGAGAAGATAATAAAGAAAACGACAGATAATATGAGATTTAAGCATTAATTATACGATGAAGAAAAGATGATGGTTCAAAGCCAGACATTATTATTACGAACGAGATCCAAAACTGCTCTTGCTTAAATAATTCAATTGCGTTCCAAAATAATACTAAGATAATAATACCAGCACGCTGCATACCAACTCTTTGCGCACCATATGATTCATCTTGTTCTTGACATATGAACGGAGAATTAAGTGGTTGTTTTGTGTTGAAAATAATGAAGGCTTAGTTACAGGGACATCTGTATTACACATTATTAATTTAATGTCATCAACCATTTGGTGGAAAAACTGCTTATTCTCACCTAATTGTTAATGTTGTGGGACTCAATGTCAACAGTTGGCAGACACATATTAACAGTTAACAGTGTCTGAGATATGCATAATTAAGTCCTTGGCACATGGAATACACGTAAAACGTTACTATACATAAAGGGAAAAAGTAGTTAATTAAACAAGATATAGACAGACAACGATCTGAACCATAGTTTATAATAATAGCAAGGAAAATATCTTAATAACTAGTGGATACCGGTTTACTTTCAAACCCAAAAGATATGACCAAAGAAGTCATAGCTGCAGACGTCTCGAGCCCAATTATTCACAGCACATTAACACAATGATTCTTATGAAATTTTTCTCAGGAAAAGCGAGGTCTACATCATCTTTGATATGACTATGGAAAACAACATTGAACTTTCATAATTCTACATATTGGTAATCATAGGATAAAAACTCAGGGCAATACTAGGATCAGCTTTTTATTATACATAATATATAATCAGCATCGTTAAATTTTATTTTTCTTTTAATAAGATCACATAACTACATCCTCCATTGACAACTTATTGTGTGTTTAATTTTTATTTTTAAAAAAAAGCCTAACGTGATTTGTTAGAAAGCAACTAGTTATTACTTTGTCGTTTGTTTGTTTAAGAATTCATGTTAAAAAACCAAACACATTCTTAATCTCATTAATTCGTCTTCCTATTCTCTCATTGTCCCACATAAACTTGCCCGTTTCTGCATTATTTGGAGCCACATGTGGCTCTTTTCCTGTTGCTCAACGCCTCTCTTCCATGTTTGCAACACTCTTTCACCATCATAATCTCTTTCCTTTGCCCGTAACAAAATAATAATGAACAAACATATCCAAATTTACGATATCCTTCCTCTCTCTCTCTCTCTCTCTCTCTCTCTCTCTCTCTCTTTCTTTTGCAGTCAATGCATATGCTGCACATTGCAGAATTTTCCTTATAAAAAGTGAATAACTATGGCACGAACATGTGGATCATGGGAGGGAAATTCTATACAATCATGTCAGAAATGCCTAATAATTAACTGTAGTTAAAAAAGAGAAGAAAAGTAAATTGAAATAAAACCTAATAATATCATTTGTGTTTTCTCTTTTACATAACGAGTTTTTTTTTTCATTTATTTATTTTTCACAATTGTGTTAACTTCAATCCTCAAACTGAGTTTAAGCATTTAAAATTGGTAAGTTTTTATTAAGAAAAAATGTATTGTTCGAATTAAAGTTATAAAACTATAATAAAATAATTTTTTAATAAAATTTATTATTATCAATTTCTTAAACTCAACCTTTACAACTGATGTTAACATTTTTTCAATATAAAATCTGACTGTTTTGGGAGGTTGTTTTCATTTTTGGGGTCCTTTTGGGAGGATCATATTTTCCTGACTTACATTCACTAACCCATATTTTCAGTCCAATAATATTTGGGCCTGATGCAATTGTTTCTTGATTTGTTTATTCGTTCATCTGTCCGAAAAAAGAACAAAGCCCAAGATACATTCACTTTCAAGAGAAAACGAGAGAGTATGAGTAGTCTCTCACTTTCCAGAAGATTCACGTTCGGCCGTACATAGACAAGGGTAAATACATTAGAAACTACCTAGGTTGCTTGAGAATCTGCAGAAGGAAGGATGTCAATAGTGCCTGTGAACCAGGGTAACGGCAGTGGCTCAAACTCCTCTGTGGATTTTTGGGATCCAAATGGCATGGCTCTCTGGGATCCATTCATGGACTTTCCTCTCCCTCCTTCCCTTTCCAATTTCTTCCCTGATTTGGGATTCGGGTCATCTGTAAACACCCGTTTGGATTGGAGGGAGACAGCAAGAGCGCACGTGTGGAAAGTGGTGCTTCCTGGCTTCACCAACGAAGATGTGTTGGTTGAGCTTCAAGACGATAGAGTTCTTCAAGTCAGCGTGGAGAGTGGCAACTTCTTGAGCAAGTTTAAGATCCCTGACGATGGCAACATCCAACAGCTCAAAGCCAACATGAATCATGGGGTTCTCATTGTCACTGTTCCCAAGTTTGATCAACCCGCTGCCAATAGGAACATAAGGATTGTTGAAATTGATGGCACTGGCTGAATCTATCAACAATCCCCACAGGGACTAGTGAGGAAACCCTATTCAATTGTTCCCTCTAATCGAAATCTAAACAAAACAATAACTGCTGTCTTTCTTGTAACCTTTAGTCATACCTATGTATGTGTCTGTTTGTTTCGTCTTTCTGATGTTGTGTACTTTGTTACCGTGTTCTGTTAAGTCAAACCAACGTGTATTATATATGTAATTATATAACTCTTATGTCCTAATATGGCTGAGCTGGCGGTTTTCAGTTTGAGTACTTGGGATGGATTTTAGACTTGTTTAATGTTGCTTAGTTTTGCGTAAATTATCTAATTGACATATTAGACGAAAAATGTGACCATGATTGTTCAGGTTCTTGTGGAAAAATGCTACCAAGTCAAGAACGATTGTTTGGAATGAACCCAAGTATCAGATCCCTTGAAACATTTAATCGCCTCTACTCGATATTCGAGTTGTTGTTAAATTTATAGGGCTTGGATCTTGTGGACTACGAGTCTGCAAATGATGTGGGACTCTTCAAATGCGGCAGCGTATATGATGGATGATGCAGAAAAACTTCACGGACTTGGACTTGCTCGTCTCCATCATTTGAAGTAGCAACCTCAGTGCTCTGAACCAGGTGGCAATTGTGAGGCCTCAAGAATCTCACCAAGATGAAGCTTGGCATGTATATGTATGATTCACACCGACGCTTCTTCAATGGCAAGGATCTAGTGCTAAAGTATCATGAATGGAAGAAATTATTGTATAGAATAACAAAGCTAATTTTTTAAGAATTTAAAAATATAGCTAATTTCATTTTGTGATTGACCAGGATTATGAACATGCATGGTTTCAAATCATATAGTAATTTCTCCATGATGGAGAACAAGAACAGAGCATTTTGTTTTAGGACAGGGCATATTTCTATTTGAGCAAACAAAGAACGGTGCTCACTTTTACTGTGAGTGTTATTTACTTAGAATTTTTCCGTTTTACAAAACGTTTAATTTATTTTTTGATTAATATTGTAAATTTGTGTTTATTTTAGTATCTTGTTTCCGCTTTTATCACCAGCAATGAGGATCAAATGAATGAAATTTCATGATATTTTGCAAATCAAGGATTAAAGTAAAAACTTACGGTCTAGGCGAGAATATTAGAGACTAACATATACATTCAGGTTTCAAATCCTCAGTTTGACACAAATGACAGGACGTCGTGGACTTCTCATATGGTGGGCACGACCCTAGTGGGCCTTCCCATCCCCTCCCTCAACGGCTAACTCAGCTCAAGAACAGTAAAAAAATCAGGTTCAGATCATGAACCACCCTCTAAAACCATGTTTTATAATATTTAGGGCTAGTTCACCTGGTTCGAGGAAAACATTTGCCTGTGTGAACTTATAGATTAATATTTTATTATTTAAAACACAAAAATAAATAAATAAATAAATATTTGTTTCATACATTTTCGTTTAAAATTGTCTTTTTATTTTCTTCCAAAACTTCACATTCTGCACCGAAGACTCTGAAATAATTGATGGCGTGTTTAGAGAAACTTTTATATCTAAAAATATAATCACTTAATTTAAAGATAATTTTTCTAATACATACAACAGTGTACATGATAAATAAGTTTTATTAAAAATCACAAAACTCAATACAATTTAATGTACTGATACTATTAAGTATTATAACTTTTTTTTTATCATGAATAAAGTTCGGCACGATAAAATATTATTTAAAAAAAATCTTCTAACAAAGATATTTATCTCTCGACAACTATGTAAAGCAATGGTGAAGCTCGAGCAGCATCTTAAAGCACCTAGCTTCCTCAAGGCAAAAGACAAAGACACCAAAAACTTAGCTTTGTAACAAAAACCAAGGTTACAAATAAAGCTAGCCACGCAAGAACCTGGCACAAATCACAATCACCTCTCTTAAAACTAAAAGGTCTATACAAATGACTTGACCACAGGAGCATCCAGAACCATCTACATTGAGTTTGGCATATCTTAAAGGGGGAAACGTGGATGGATATTGCAAAACTCTTAAGGAAAATCCAGTTACTGCTTTAACATGAACTACGAATAAATACTAGACGTTGTCTTATGTTCATATCAACGTCAGCAGACAATTATGGCAAAAATATATTATTCTTTTCCTTTGATTTGATAATGTGAAACGTGTAAAATCAAATCTCATCCAAGCTGAGTATTAATATCCGAGATTCGATTTTGCTCTCAGTTGCACTAATCCTCTTCCCCCACCCACTTCAACATAACATGCCAAACTAAAAATGTTTAGGCTGGAAGACTAAAAGACCCCTAAAGACTTCACATTTCTCTTATCTAAGTGGGTGCTTGTAGGCCCACTTTAACTTGATGGTGGCCCCAAGGCATTTGTAGCCCCTCATTTCCCCTTTATAATAGTTGGGAATTTCCTCAGCAGTGTGTTTCCAGTAAATATACAACGTGTTTGTTTGGTTTGAAGTCCATTTATATTGATGAATTCACGTTATTTTTATTTTCGTCGCTAGACGGAATAATATATAAAAATTGGACACTCGTTTTTGGAATTTTAATGTACAGTTTGTCATATGCTAATTACACTCACATGTTTAAATGATTTTTGCAAGTAAATCATATTTTAAATGTTGAATCAAGGCTTTCAACTTGAATAATCAAAGCAAGAAACATACCTCTCCATGACTACAAAACAACCTCAAGTTTTTTTTCCTTTCTTAAATATTTCATCAGTTTACAAGCTGCTGCTGCCTTTTTCTTTTGGGTGATTTTACATATATTCAAGTTATATCACATATCATATTCTAAGTATATATATTTTTTGGGCTAAGAAATCAGAGATTCACTGATAGGATACTCTTTACCAAGCCATTCAAGGCATCATAGGAAGAACCACCTTGCACGGCTAGCCTAATCTCATTCTTCAATTTTAATGCTCTCTGCCTCATCTCCTTCCCTTCTGAATCCTCCATAAGTCTTCTCACTGCACTTTCTATTTCATCCCTTTCTATGATATTGGACCATTCTAGACCTACCTTCCATACATGGCTCAACAACCTAGCATTTACCCCTTGATCCCCAAAATGAGGTTGGCAAATAATTGGCACTCCTTCACTCAAACTCTCCAAAGTAGAATTCCATCCACAATGGCTCCAAAACCCTCCCACAGCTTGGTGTGCCAAAACTTCACCTTGGGGTGCCCATTTCACTATGCAACCCTTTTTTGCTATTGCTCCTGTAACATCTTCAGGCAATGATTGAAGCCACTCTGAAACATCATCAATGGTCCCGGGTCTAATAACCCAAAGAAAATTTTGTTTGCTATTGGCTAAGCCCCAAGCCACTTCAGTTAGCTCTTTCTCATCCCAGCTAGCTATGCTTCCCAAACTTACATACAACACAGATTTTCTCGCTTGGTTGTTGAGCCATGCTATGCAGCTATAATCTTCTTCCACAAAGCTACTACTAGATGAATCTTCAGCAATCATGTGTAAAGGGCCTATAGGAAAGAGTCTTACTTTGTACACATGGCGTAGCTGATACAAGGATTGCTCTTCAAGGCAATCCACAGTGTTGAATATAAAGCCCAAAGAAGGCCTCACAGCAAGTGTTTTGACTAATTGCTGCTGCAAAACATCCGAGTTTGTCAATTTGAAAATTAGTAGATCTTTGAATCGGAGCGGTTCAAGTTCTGGCACCAACTCCAACGACTTAGAATCTGCATGCAACGTGTAAATTAGTGCCTGATTCTTAACCACATAAATCATGCGGTGGCCAAGAAAGAGAAAAGTTAAGTAGAATCTTTGATTGTAGAAAAGTGAAAGTTTAGATGTTGAAAGCTGTAAAATTATAAAACACTACATTTTGAAGCTTATAAGTAAATTTTAATTATTTTAAATATAATCACTTATTTTCAAACACAAATCAATTAATTATTTTAACATCTTTCTTTCATCAATAAATAAATATATATCCCTAGACTTTTATCATTGACTGTGAAAAATGTGAAGCATTATTATTTAATTATCATCTGACAAAGTAATGAGTTTAGAACAATACCTTGGAAGGGAAGGCAACCGGTGCGTTGAAGATGAACAAACGCATGATAATAGGTGAGTACATTAGTAGCACTGGTGGTTCTGAGGACCATGCTGGGTAGTTTTAGTTCTCTGGCCACGAGATCAATGGAATGCATTAATCCATCATAGATAACACAAGCAATCTTTTCATGGCTTATATTTGCTTTTGCAATCTGATCAACTAAAAACTCTTTAAGTGGAGACACACACTTGGTATTTAAGGTCGCGGAAATATCCACAATATTCTTGGAGGAGATGTGTGTGTCGGATAAACCATAGGACAAAGGTAGAAAAAGCAAGTTAGGGTGATTAGAAGGATCAGGGGAGTTGAAATGGGCGTGTGCCACAGTGATGGAGAACCCTTTTGATTGAAGGGTGTTGGCTAATTGAAGCATTGGAGTTAAGTGACCTTGAAATGGTGGCGGTATTAGAACCAAACGGTGCCTTTGATTTTCCATCAATCTCCTATAAAAAGAGTAGTTTTGTGCTATACTTAGTCTGTGAAGCAGGGGTAGTGAAAGATCACATGGTAGTGTCTCCTTAAAAATGAATTAATTCCTCCATTGCCAAGTGCATGTATCTTTCACATAATGAAGTTTTTCTCCTCCACGTTTCTGATGACTTGTAACCAACGACTTTTCCATTACATTATATATTAATTACTATTTCTGAGGATTTGCTTTCACACGCAACGCCTATTAGCTTGGTTTCAATGAGCCTATGGTATCAGGACGCACGACACCGAAAACTCATGTCCTTGGTTCATTAAAATTATTTGACCAAACAAAGTCCATTTGTTACTATCTACACGGGTACAAGTAGCATCATAAGTCATTTTCACCACTACCTCATTTGAGACGCTCTTCTGGCCATTAAAGTACTACTCACATTAGTTTTTACTTTGTCCCAATATTTGACCTTGTGTCTCCTGAGAGAAGTTTAGAAAACTAACTGTTTCATGGCCATTTCAGTACTTTAACAACATTACGTAACCTACTCGTCTAATTAAACCTATAGTTAATTTATATTCCAGCCTTGATGTAATTTTCATGACTGTCAAAGTATGAACTTGCTGATTTCAGCATTATTTGACATGTGGTTCTTTTCCATTTGTTCAACTCTCCTTTGTTTTGCAACACCCTTCACCAACTTGTACTTAGCCAGCTCATTTTCTTCATTTGCTATTCCATAATTACCTTGTTTGTGGTGATTCGCGTAAGAGTACCGTGTCCTTACTTTTGTTAATTTCCTTAATGATGATAAGCATATGATAAATAAAAAAAGACTTCTCTCTCTGACTTTAACTGGTCACAAAAAGCTTTCTATTCGTTCTGACAGAGACCGCAATCACCTTCAAATCATGGGTATAAAACTTTTTGACTTACATTTTATTTTATAATATAATTATAAAATTTATGAATAATGGCTAGGACGGTTGAAAATTCAACCGCAGAGAAACTTTAATGCACTGCTGTGTAGATAGTTTCATGAATTATATTCCGGATCTGACAACAAATCATCAATTTTCTGAGCTCCGGCCCTGGAACCTTATCTTTGAAAGAGATTGCATTCTGAAAATACTATTGCTTGTACTGAATTATTGCTTTTTTGTGAAAGAGGAAAGGGTATGTTTGGTTCTACCTTTAAAGTATAATTTTAGATTTAAAAAATGAAAACTAATTTTGTAATATTAATTAGGTGAAAGAAGTGAAAAGCAAAAATCATGGTAAGATTTCAAGAGACAGAAAATCTATGTATGAGCTGAAAAGGCAGAACAAGATCCTTTCAGGACAATTGCACCCTCTCCTCCTTGGCTAGGGACCCTGTGCATGAATAGTAATTAGGGGTAAAGATGGAGTGTTTCGAGTATGGCTATACATCAATGCACTATCCTCATTCTTTCAATTGACTTTAACATGACAACACGTGTGACTGAGGTGACTTAACATATGTGATAAACCAGAAAAGCTTTGCACCAAGGCAATGAGAAAAGTAGTAAAAGTGGAAGCCAAAGCACCAGTCACAACCAAGTGGAAGTGTTAACTTCAGCTCTAAATTTAATTATTTTTTTATAAAAATATATAATTATAATATTAAAGTTATAAAAATATAATAAATATTTTTTTAATATAATTTTATTATTATTAACTATTTAAACTCAACTTAAAAACTGAAATTAATAAAATTTAATAAAATATTTAAGGTAATATTATTTGGACAAAATTCAATCTAAACTAATGTACAAGATTGATAGAGAGGATCCAAACTATCTGATTGGATTTCCAACAGTGAAAATTGATTTCACCAAAGAATAATAAAACTTTTACAACCTATTTTTACATTAAAAATTATTAACAATTTGAAAAAAATTAAAAAGATAAACTTCATTTTCTCTTTATTTTTAAATTTAGTTATATTATTTGTAAACACATTTATAATATTATTATATATTTATTATAATATAATTCGTTTTGTTATATTTTTTTCTCACCTTTTCTTGTCTCTTTTAATTATAAAAGAAATAAAAGTATTGTACAAATAGAATTTTTCTTTTAAGTTTTATATTTATCTAACAAAACGCCTGCGTCAATGTTTAGGCCCGTTGTAAAGCTCGAGGAATACTAATAATGCATTTTTTTTAAATGTACTTTTTGACAAATTTTTATAATGGGTTCATTTAAAAAATAAATAAAATAATATTGATTTTTTAAAATTATTTTGGATTTATAAAAGATAAACAAATAACAATGAAAAAATATTTTTCTAATCCTTTTTTTATTATGCATTTTTAATAAAATTAAAATATATTTATCAAAATGCTGCATGAGACTCTTTGTCAGTATTAAGTACTAATAATGCTCATGTTTGGTCTGGAACATGAGAATTTAATAAAAAGAAAAGATAAAGAACGCGTAAATTCCAATATCTTCCCTGTGGTTTGGAACATTAAAAAAAAGAAAAGAATAAAAAGAACTTTATTAGCATGGGACTCATTCAAAATCCTTTATCCTCATACTTGCCGAAGAAGAAGAGGGAGAAAATAAAATAAAATAAAATATTTGTTTCTTTTCTATCCTTTATTTTGAGCCTCTTTAATTTTTTGAGGTACAATAATAGTCGGCTTCACAAACAAATTACATAATAGTAGAATAGCTAGGGTCCCTGTTTGCACATCATGCTATCTTATTTACTTTTAAAAAAATCCGGCCCATAGTTAATTCCCATGGACTTTTTTATTACCCAATTAAAAGTGGGCCTGATCCAAGAACACAATGTTTGATTTACCCATGGAACATCAGGGCCTTTGAGTGACCAAGAAAAATATTGATTGCACTAACTAATGATATGGAATCGCTTTCATCAATAAATTTAATTATTTTATTATGATTTTTTTTATAAACTTTAATTTTTTTATTAAAATTATTTATATTTGCCGATTGGACTGATAAACTTAATATGTAATATAATATTTAAAAAGAATACTTTATTTCTATCAATTTGATCCCGGTTCAACCAGTGAACCATCAATCAGTAATTTCAATAGTTTCATGACGAATCAGAATTTTAAAATATTAAATAAAAACATAAAAAATAATAAAATGTTACAATCAGATGTTCTGGTTCTTTTTATAAAAAATAAAAAATTAAATTACTAAATCAAGAAAAATAATTAAGTCTATTATACTTTTTTATAAATATAAATTCTATTTTAAAAATATATATGATATTAAATAGTGTAGTTAGTAATTTGTATATTTAATGATACTAATAAAAAATATAAAAAAATTTAACAATTAATACATGTTGAATCTATCATTTATTTTTTATAATAAGAACTAAAAAAATACTTTATTTTATTTTTTTATAAAAATAATTGAAGAGAATAATATTGTAAATTTAATAATCAATAAAATAAAATATTCAATACAATAAGCTGTATTTTTTTCAAAATAATTTAATTATTTTAATTATATTTTCACGTAAGATTTTTCATTTATTATGAATAATTGTTAAATATAGAGATTGGGTACTTAGAATGATTGTCGTGACATTATTATATACAGTATATTAGATATTATGTTTTTGATAAAAACAAGTTGAAAAATATGATATTATAATTTATAAATGTAAAATTTCTTTACATTTTATAATTCAAATATTCTATCAGTTAGATATTTTAATATTTTATATAAGTTTTGATAATGAATTTTTTATATTGGTCATCTAACAGAATATTAATTGCCTGCCAGAAAATGATTTTTTTAAGTGACAAAAAATTTCATAAATATATAATTGGGAAATAGTATTTGTGTAAGAAATATTTAATTTATTTTATTGTTATTTTTAATATAAATCATATTTTTACTTCAATAACTAATGAAAAACCATCAATTTTGATAATTATTATATAAATTATCATAACAAAAATTTAATATTGACAAAAAGTCTCATAAAATAATGGGTTGCAAATAAGTTTTTGTTAATTAGGTATGTCTTGATAAGAAGAAAAGGAAGTGAAAAAAAGCCTAGCTTATTTGAATCTGTTTGTTTTTTGAAATTATATTTTGTTAAGTATTTTTATTTTTAAAAACAAAATGTAGAAAAAATATATTATATCATTACATGATTTTAAAAATAAATAAAGCATGGTTGTTGGGTGAATAATGAAATGGTGAGAACAATGAAGGAGCGGTGGTGGACAATTAAATACGTACGAAAGAGAAATCATTGACTCAAAATTGGAAAATATTATTCAAAGTCCTGATTTTATTACAATTTTTTCATTGATAAAATGAGTAATTTACATATTTGTCACTATAAAGAAATAGCAATTCTAAAAAGCATTTTAAACTTCTTGGTATTTTTATTTTTGAAATAAAATTTTTAATTTAAATTCAAATACTTTTATTAATTTTATTGTTTGAATTGTCTTAAGGATACTACTAAAAACTAAAAAAATTATTTTAAAAATTTAAACACGTTAAAAATTATGAAAATATAATAATTATATTTTTAGTTTTTTATTTTATTTTAAACTTTTTAACATTATTTTACTTATAAAAAATATTAAAATGAGAAATTAAAGGAGCTCTTAATTTCGCTTGAATTGACTGTACCAGTACAAATACGGTACCATATATATTTTTAACAGGGTTGAAATTGTACTATCGTTTTGCCTTTGTACAGTTGCAATTTCATTAACTATGAAGCAGATAATTAATATCCACATAATTACGTATGGTAACCGATGACATGGTCCAATTGAAAAGTAGAAGTAAATTGTGTATAATTACTATTGTCAGATATATTATTAAAAAAACTGAATAAACATGAAAACTTTAATGTAAAGTTATAAATTAAAAAAATATTTATATAATGCTCTTATTTTCAGTAAAAATTTTAGATAATTTGTTATTTAATAGACATTGCATAAGCAATTTTATAACAGATTTTTTAATTTGTGCAACATTGTACATGATAAACTTTAGTTTTTAAATTATTTAACTAATAAAGAGAAAGTAAAAAAATAATTTTTTTAAAAAAATATAAAAAACAATTAATACATATTATTTAAGTAGAGTATTTATTATGGTTTATCTTGTGTAAAGCTGCGTAGTTTAAAAAACTCCATTTTATAAAGTTACTTTTAACTCTTTTTGTTAAAGAAAAAGAAGAAAAAAAAATCTCAACTTTTTATAACTGCCCACCACCCACCATCACGCACGTACATATCATATCATCATCTTGACATCTTCCTGAGATCAAATCAAAAAACATTTTCGTATACTCTGAGCAGCCATATACCATACGGCAGAGGCATGAACATGGACGAGCACATGCACGGAATGGGAGGGATGGGACCAACGCAGCCATCAACGAATGGGAGCATGACGATGCATCATAAGATGATGATGCACATGACCTTCTTCTGGGGAAAGGACGCGCAGATTCTCTTCTCAAGCTGGCCTGGAGGCAAATCTGGCATGTACGTGTTGGCCTTGGTCTGTGTGTTCGTGGTGGCTGTTTTCGTCGAGTTGCTCTCTCACACACGCTTCATCAAACCTGGTTTGAACCATGTGGTAGCAGGTTTGATTCAAACCTTGTTGCATGTCCTGAGGGTTGGTCTGGCTTACTTGGTCATGCTTGCACTCATGTCTTTCAATGGGGGTGTCTTCCTTGTTGCTTTGCTCGGTCATGCTTTGGGATTCTTCCTTTGTAGCATGGCCTTCAAAAAACCCCACCAAGATCAGGGATTTGATCTTCCCCCAATTTCATGTTAATCCTTTCCCTTTTTAATTTAGTTATAACAATTTAATCTTTTTTGGTATTTTGTGATGCTTGTTTTCAGTTGTAGATGTAGTTTATGCAATATGTTTTGGTTAATGTTGTGAGGATGAATCAATTAATTTGCTGTCTGTCTATTCATTTAAGCCAAACTCATTCGCCATTCAAAGGACTAACAATGAAGACAAATCTAACGGCGTCTTCACCACACCCGTGTGTTGACAATAATAAGGACAAAATTTTATCAGTACAATACATCTCAACCGTTCTTAGTCTACCCATCAATGGACCCATTAGTTATTTCACCGTTTCCACAACTATCTAACATTCCAATTCAGAGCTCCACTAATCAACTACTTTGAAGGCAACTTTACCCACGACTCCACGTTGCAATCGTAGATTAATGTTCGATTTGATCCACGAAGCATATGTTTGGTAAAATTAATTTTATTTTTTAAATAGTAGTTATTTTATAATTTTAAAGTATAATTAAAATCTTCTTTTTAAAATAATTACTATCTCAAAATTTATATTATATTTTATCTCTCTAATCATTTATTATATAGGTAAATTTTAAAATAGATATAACAAAAATTGTATAATATTTTTATAAAAATAATATAATTAATATGTTTCTTGATTCTTGGGTTACAATTTGAAATGACTATTTTGCATAGACAGCAAGAATAAATATTTCAAAAAAATCAAATACACATTTTGGAGTTTGAGTTGGGTTTATATTACAAGCAAAATAAAGTTTTTAGTAAAGCAAGTTTGTTTTCGTTTCTCCAGTAACAAACTGTAGACACTGACTAGTTATTACCTTTCCTTAACGTGGTTGGTGTCAATTAAAAATTAAGTTCATTCTTATATTTGGTAACTTTTGTCTTAGATTAAAATGTTTATGCATTTTATATAAATTTACCTTCAATAAAAAATAATTTATTTCAAACTTATTTTTAAATAAAATTTATCTTATAAAATTAAAATTATAAAAATTACATTTTTACGCACTCATTCAAGTACACCCCAAATGTATGCAGCTGTAGGCAGGTGGGTGTTATAAAGTTAGTGGATGAAATTATTACTTGTTGCAGCAATAGTAATGAATCTGTTAGAAATCTTGAGGGAATGATTTTAAATTTAAGAATATTTTTAAAGACGTTTTTAAATTTTATCATTAAAGTATCTATTGAAAATTGAAATATAAAAAAAAAAGTCAAAATAAATGGTAATAATTCTTAATTCAATTTTTGTAACTGAACACAAAATAAGAGTTTATATATATATATATATAAATTTTTTTATTAAAAGTTATATGATTCAATTTATTAATAATATTAAATACTATTTTTAATAAAAATTATTATTCATTATTTTTATTATATATTTTTAGATACAAATAAAAAAATTACTCTTCATTTAATTTTAATCATTTCAACAAAAAAATTATATATAAATAATTTTCTTTCTTATGCACCGTCAATTTTTTTATTAAGTTATGTTACATCCATAAGTAATAAATTGCGTTCAAAACCACAACCTCTGTATATGCTTAGATACAGGTTTACAGGAAGTATATGTATGTTTATAAATGACATATTTAAAAAATTATAAGATTACATTTAACTACATTTTATAAAAAAAATAATAATAAATTTAGCACTCGATTTTACCAATTGTGAAATTATGTATTCACTCTAACTCCAATGCCCAAATTAACTCTGTTTTTTTTTTTAAATATGTTTGACTGGATTCATGGAGTCCACAATTAGCCTACTATAGAAAATAAAATTCATACATGTGTATTAAGTAAGGGAATATCTTTGTTAATATTAATTAATATTATTTAATGTAAAAAATAAAATGTTTAAAAATAATTTTTTTAGAAATTAAAATGATAAAACTCTTAGAATGTGCAGTCTGTTCTTAATCATTTTGGATCTAAGCAAAACAGTAAATTGGAGTCTCTTTCAAAAATATAATAGAACTAAATAAAAACATATGCTAATAATTTTATTAAAATAATAATTTTTTTAAGTGAATACAATTTTTTAATAAAATTATAAAAAAAAATTCATTCAAACAATTCTTATGTCATCTTCAATTACAAAAATACAATACAAAAAATCATAAAAAATAAGTTCTACGAGTATTCTAAAATGTAAAATCATTAATGATAACATTAACATTAATGTTTTTCAAAAATTTCTTTTTATTGATAAAATTGCATGACCATTCAACCATTCTTGTAATATGATGACCTTAAGAAGGTTTTGATCATCTTTAACTTTGAAAAAAAATTTTCAGTTAATGTTATAGTCACTGAGACTGTAAAAAAAATTTTATAAGCAATTGAAACATTTGGATAATAATTTACAAATTTGACAAACTCAAAAATTTAAGTAGTTGACATTAATTCATTTGGTAAAGTAAATTGCAATACTTTCAATTATCTGTAAAAATCATTTAAATTAACATATCATGAATTACCATGAGAAAAAGTATAGTGGAAATTAGCATAACATTTTTTCAAATTTTTTTCATCCAATAACTTTAACTTGTTTGAATCAAATAAAAAACCAAAAATATTTTCAAAAGCTTTTAATTGCTTAAATCGGTTTTTCAAATAAGTAATTGTCATGTTTACAACAACTAAAAAATATTTAACTCTAAATAATTTTTCAACCAGTTGAATTTCTTTGTCATCTTAGGAATTTTCATCAAATTATTTTTTTCTAATAACACGGTGTTTTGTTGGAAGGGTAGGCTCTATATCCATACCAAGTGCAATACTTTTAGCAATATTCATACTAGAAGTAAAGTCGTAATCTCTATACTTTTTAAAATATGACAATATACCTTCTAATCGTTTTATGGTGGTGTCAATGCACATAAATTTAGATTGCAATTTTTTACTCACCATATTTACAGTAAATAAAATTTATTGCCAAATAACCATACCAAGTAAAATCTCAAAACTCCTAAGTACATTATACAAACTTTCGCTTCATTCGTTGACTTTACATATTTACAAGATTCATATAATTCTGACAAAGCTAAACTTAATTGGAGAGTTTGAAATTTAATAGCTTTAATACTTTTAATTTGGCTCCCCTGATGAGTATTAGATAAATATTTCACAAGAAATTCAAGAATATTGTCAAACAAAATTTTTCATTTTTTTGTAGAACTCAAAAATAACTTGTATTGAACAATTTTAAAAAATAAAATAGTTGTAATGCAAGAATATGCCATGTCGCTAAAAGTAAAATTTAAACTATGACAAGTACAAGGCATATATAATACTCGTGTTTATTTTAAGAAATCACTTTTGAACAGCTTGATGCTTCCTTTTCATATTGGAACTATAATTGTAATCTTAACCCCTTACTGTCAGGCTAGAGATTTATTATTGAGTAATCCATAATATTTTATACTTGTTCAATGTTAATTGAAGGATTATTTGGTATTGGAATAGATTTAGATAGAGTTTGAAATTATTTTTATATAAAAAAAAAAGTGAACAGTACCGTATGAACAGTGTCGGATGAACAGTAAAATCGCCTATGAACAGTGCAAACCGTGTATGAACAGTGCAAACCTCGTATGAACAGTGCAAACCGTGTATGTACAGTGACTGTTGACGTCACATACGCGTACAGTGCATGTACAGTATGCGTGCACAGTTTTCCAGCGTGAATAGTGCCCTAAACAGTGTTTCCGGCGTGAACAGTAAATTCTGGCGGTGAACAGTAAATTTCGAAAATTTTCTATAAAAAGGGGGCTTCACACGAAATTTTCATTTCTTCACCCCTATCCAAGGTTCTCAAAGGTTCTAAGGCCAAAAACCACCACTTCTCTCATACTAAACCTTCCTAAACTTAAATTTCTCTCCAGATCTGAGATTCTACGTCTATTCTAAAGGATTTGAAGTAAGTTTCTTTAAGTTTGAAGCTAGATTTACCGTTCGTTTCTCTTCTCCTTCTCTTTCTCATAGAAGTTCATGGTGTTCTTAGGAGAAACTTCGTTCTAAAGTCAAATCTTCGGTGAATCTTGCATTAAAACAAGTAATATTCGGTAGATCTAGTGTGAATCATCTTTCTGAGGTAAGGGGAGTTTACTTTAACCTATGAACTACATTTTGAACGGTTTAATATGCTATTTCAAGATGTTTTGATATGACTTTGTTAGATCTTTTGAATAAAAGCTATTTTCTAAGCTGTAACTGCTGTTAATTGATTTAAAATGCTGAGATTTTGGCTGATCTATTATAAACTTGCTTTAGTTGAGCTGTTAAAATAACTTTGGCAGTGTGCATCATGCTGAGATATATATTTTGCATCATTATAGAGCCGAGTTACATGTTTAGGTGGGTAGACATGTAACGGTAAGTTCATGCTGAGCTACTGTGCTGTGCTGTCTGGATCCAGATACCGGAATGGGTCGCTCCCGGACCGACTCGGTTCCTTCTGGATTACTTAGGCTGTGAAACCAGTTGGAAACCGTATTCATGCTGTGCATTAGATGGGCTGGAAATGCATGGGGTTATTGCTGTGAGAAATATTTTGCTCTATATATATGATTTTATTTTATTTTTGTAAGCTCACCCTTGCATTTCTTTCTATGTCGTTGTGTGCGTGTGTACTGCGATGATCGTACGGTGGTACGTGAGCAGATGTAGCAGGTGTTGCATCTACTTTACGGGCTGCGGGGCCAGTGGAGAAATGATAGAAGCTGAAGTCGAGTAATATTGCATTTAAGTCCTTTTTCCTTATATTTTAAGACCTCATGTAGAGGGAGATACGTAGTATAATTTTGGGTATTTTTGAATATTATGAATTAAATGTAATATTATGTTATTCTGTTGGATATTTGTTGTAAGAAACTCTGTTTTATTTTGAATGAGACGAGAATTTCATAATTATATTTTCTATACTTTATTTCAAATAAGTTTGTGATGTAGAAACAATGTTCTCGGTTCCTTATAAAAGGGGTCGTGACACTTACATCATTACATTAAGATTGAGAGACTTCAGAACATTTTGTAATTCATTAAAAATTTTCAATTTTATATTTTAGAACTCTAAAATTTTTCGTAAACTTTAATGTTAAGAATAGTAAAATTTAGGAATTAAAAGAAGTTTTGAGTCTTGAAAAGTCAAAGAGTTGACTACGTTTATAATAAGCGAAGTGTAAGAAATTAAATGATCTTTTTTATTTTTATTTATTTTTAACTACAATTGAGAGTTAAAAAAAAATTTCCACGTAAAAGAAAGCAAATTTTATTTTGGGCTCCTTTTAGGCCTGGGTTGTGAGTGACTGCACTCCTAGACTACATTTGGTGTGTTTAGATGAGATAATTCAAGTGAGTAATTTATTTTTTGAAAAAAATAAAAATTTTATGGATTAAAATTTGTTGTTTAAATAAAATTTGTTTTAAAATTTAAAATTAAAAAAATTTTAGTGAGAATTTTTAATTGACTAGAATAAAAGAATTTTAATAAAAAAAAGTGAGAATTTAAAATTTTTTCATTTATTGTGTGTTTCACTCATATTTTTATTTAATTATGGTTAACTTAATAATTTAAATTTCATTTTTTAATTAGTTTTGTCACATATAGTGATAATTTTTTTTAAAAAATAAGTAATTAATTATTTTTTCTAAACAAAAATATTTGAAATGAAAGAAATTCAATAACTCTATTCAAACAAAATATTTTAAAATAATAGAAATTTAAACAATGTAATTGAAATTTTTAAAAATTTAATTGTCTCATCCAATTATAACCTTAATCTTTTATGATCTACACATAATGATTCACTTTGATAAAAGATTTTTAATTATAAAAAAAAATTTAATTATGAAAAAATATATATTTATTTAATTTTTGAGTTTATATTAGTGAAAATACAGATTAATTGGTTAAAAAAATTCAACTTAATTTATAGTGGTCTTGAATTTGAATTTCATTGAATAAGATTGTATTAACTACTTAAAAGAAGTAATAATAAAATTTTTCAATTTAAAGGTGATCCACTCTCATAAAATATATATATATATATATATATATATATGTCATTTAAAGAGAGAGAGAGTTGATGACTTTTTACTAGTTTATTTATGTAATTCTATTAAAGTCCAAAAGCACAAGTAGTCTATGCAAAAGATCAGTGTCCGTATTTGATTAAAAGGTCTATGCGCATTGCAATCCATAACCAAGATCGGAAAGCCCAAATCACGGGTTTGACTGAATGATCGGACCCTTTTATGGGTCATTTATGGACGAGTCATGAAAACCAATTTGATTAACTCATGCGCACTCGTATTTCTACTTGAACAGCAACTATCCTCAGTTTCCTAGCTGTGGGGCACACTTCATACTTATCGCAAGGCCACGGGGACGTTGTAGTGGTACAAACACGGACCTTAATTATGTCGTCTACTAGCAATTTAATGCTTAAGGAGGCTTTAAAATCTATCCTTTCTGTTATCCCATGTGGTGTTATTCAAGGAAAGAGATGCTACTTTGTCATATTGGATTGACGTGTTTTACATTTTCTGGAATGTCAACGATGATCACTCACGAGGTTGTCTAGATGGATTCCTCTTTTACATTCATTATTCATTTATAAGAAACCAAAAGAACTGCTCCTTTACTAACCCCCCCCCCCCCCCCCCATGTTTTTTTTTCTTCAAACAAGTTATGGAACATGTATGCACATAACAAGTGATTGAGCCCACATTACTGAGATTGGTGCCCTTTTACATATACATTAGTTTATTTTTGTATGATCCTCGGTCACTAGCTAGAACTATATAGACTTATCCGTAAAAGAAGCAAAGCACAAAACAAGATTATATTTGTAATCCATATACATATATATGGGGGTGTAAAAATTTTTACACCCAATCTAAGCCTATCCATATATATATATAATTACTATCATTTAGTCATACAATCTCTGTAAAAGACTTCCCCATGTATTGATCCAATCTGAAGATGGAAATAGGAGTTCTTTTTTTATTCCTCATCAACCTTTCTTTCTTTCTTTTGCTTTGGCAGAAATTGCCAATGCAGCATTACTATTATGAATGTGTTAAAGCTAAAAAGAGAAGCAGCTAATGCACGTCCCTCTACTACTGCTTCAATAGGTCCACTCTTGAGGCAGAACCATCTCATTCTGAGCAGGTGCTGGTTTTTTCCGTGATTGGCGCTTTTGTAGCGAATACATGCCATCCCTGTTACTAACTAAAACATCTGCAAAAAAGTAAACAATAACATCGAAACTCAATTAGTTAGATGCATATTCCAATTACGTAGTCAACAACAGTGACATCTCGCCAGTTGCTGTATTTTCTAAATTTAAAGTGGGAAATGCACCAATTTTCAAAAGAAAAATGGGACAACCTAGTCCTTTCCCCTTTTCACAGAAGACTCGCAATCAAAATATAATTGAAAAATAAAAAATATTATAAGATAGAATGTAGAAAAAGTAATAATACCGAAAATACCAGAGAGAAAACAATATATAATTCGATTGAAATAAGATAACTTATACCGACACACTAAAAGTAATTTTTTGTTTTTTTAAAGATAAGCACTTTCATTATTAAATAATCACATTTATGTACACATTAAAACAAAACTAAATCAAAAGCCAAATATAACTGTTTTTGGCCACAAGAGGAATGTTGGATAATTAGGTACCATGTAAGGGAGGGAAAGCACCAGCTTTGGGTCCGGACATTTGGTCATAGTGGAGTTGCAAAGCCTATACTACTCTGGCGGGTATAAGAACTGTAGAGCAACCTTTACCTAATCAAACCACAGACAAAACATTAAGAGTCGGTAAAATTGTTCACAGTTGTTTATTTTACTTTAGCCAAAAGAAACACCCAAAAGCATCAAACATGTGTGCACCACATAGAAGGTGGAGTAGAGAAAATTGCGGTTGAAAGTCTATAGAATATTTGGTTAAATGAAGCACTCTAGCTAGATACTGGATCACAACAAATCCAATAGAGTTGAAAACTAATTATATATGGTATGGTTTTGGTTGATATTTCATATCAGAAGACAACTAATTCAACGACTAGCGAACTGACAACCGTAGGAAATGACTCAAAAAACGAACGAGCGCCGAAATCTTAAAGCGACTGAACCGGACCGAATTATTACCTGGTCTCTTCCGTGACTCGGATGGAACGTTTTTTCTGCCACGTGGCAAGAAAACACCGGTTCCACAATATGTGCCTCTTGAACCGGATGAACCCAGGAAAATGGCTGGCATCTCCGAACCGGGTTGCTGGTGTGAACGAGTGTGCCACGGTGGAGTCGTTCGTTTGTGATCGCACCCAACACCAACCCCTCTACCTTTGTTCTGAAATTGCTTCGATATCTGCACATGATTTTCCGTATATGCACTCAGTTTTTCCTTCATAGACAGAATCTGCTCTTGCCTGAGCTGAGACAACTGTAACAGGGAAACACGTGAGTTGAAGGCATGTTGTTGGAATTGAATTTAACGGTAGAAAAAGGGTGTTGCTGATGTTATTGTTGTCTTACTTGAATCTCTCGAATTTGTTCTTGAAGGAGAGATTGGTAAGAGCAAACTCCAACATCTTTTGAGGTCTCCAAGTTCTGAATCACATAGCCAGAACGGTGTTTGAAACTTTCTCTTTCGTTAAGCTTCATCTTCTCTAACATCCCCCCGACGTCGTAGGTGCTGTCCCAACAGGAGTCGTGGCTATTAGGCGAGTCCCATGGCTTCATCAGAAGAAAGAAGCAAGAGCAAAAAGACCTGATAAGGTGGTAGCAAGAAAAGAAACCAAGAAATAAAATGGAACACCAGTTATAAAACAAACTAGTACCGATTCCAAGTTATTAGAACCATTGCCTGAGAGTTTCCCCTGCATCTGTGGGTTGATGTTGAAGTAATTGAGGTGGCGTGGTTGTGGGAGAATATTCTTGTCATGGAGGAACTGATCATGAGGAAACAATGTGTCCCCAGTGTGTAGCTCAATTGCCATGTTATAATTATCTCGGAGGATGATGAATGATAATGATGAGATAGGTAGGGTGGGGCTTAATAAATTGCAATTATGGGTGTCACTGGCGAAAGGAGCTTCAATGATTACTTTGACAAGGGAAGAGGAGTGTAAATACACCCCAAATGGCACTCTCTTGGTTGCTATTGCTAATGCAATGTAGTAAGGTGCCAGAAAAAGTGGGTGATTTAAGGAACCAAGCAAGAGACAGCATTTAAGGAGGAAAAAAAAACATTGGTAAGAGCAAATGAAGAAGATCCTCAAGCACGGACAAATTGAGAGGGGCCCAAGGTTAAAGCCCAAGAAAGGTGTCTTATGGGAGCCCTTTCAAGTTTCAAGCTGAAAGGTCGGCTAATATTAGTTGAACCTTAGTTTTAACCAGTTGTATCTCACTTGCCAATTGTTGCCCTCAGTAGAAGTTGCGACCACTTCATGCGAACTACTTCAACAGTATAAAATGAATAATTTTATAAAATAAATTCAACGCCGGTTGTTAACTTATTAATCTATTTTCTTGTAGGAGATTAGAGGGAACACCTACGAGGTGCTGTGGACGTTAGAGATTAATAAATAAGAAAACCTCAGTTAATAAATGTTACAATGCGTGTTCTCCCTTCCCTTTCCATCCCTCCTCTCATCAACCTGAAGATGTAGCAGAGATTGATAAATGCTACTTTTTGTGGACCCATTCGTGTATGAGATTGGTGCGGATTTCAACGGGATGCTCAAGCATAAGTAAAACTCATTTCTCATTTTACCCATCTTCCTATCATTCAATCTTCTTCCTTAATAAATTATTTACATTGATCCTAATCATAATTGCCATAGGAGATGAATAAACCTAACGATGGCTGGTGAAAATATTTGCTATAATTAGAATGTGCAAAGAAGTCATTTTCAAAATGTAAAAAATATGTATTTCTAAGTTACACAGCTTTAACTTGGGATTTGGAAAAATGTATTTGTAACTAATATTTTTGGTATTGAAATATTTCAACAGTAAATACTATGAATAAGTTAATAAGGTTCTCATATTAGTCACAATCACAAAAGTTTTGATTCTATTTTCACTTATAAATTTATATCTAAAATCTTGAATAAGGATCTTGAACATGCTTCATGAGCTTTATATACTAAAATGGTTAGAACTGAGTAATTTGAATGTTATAACTAATATTAAATAAAGATTACTATGAAACATTGTCAACATGTTAGTCATTCATGTTAATTCTCAAAGAAAATCGCAATCCCGTGGGTCATTTGCCGGGAGCACTCAAAGTCAAGAAGTGGACGAACGTTAACATTTGGCAATTACTAGGCTCCAACTCTGGTCAATGTCTCCTAGACACTAATTGCTGACCATAATCGTTAGTCTTATAAAACTAAAAATATATATTATATACAATTGTTTATATATAACCTTTGCCATTTAATTAATTACAAAGAAAAAAGTGCTCGAGTTACCACAAGGATGTTGTGATGTGGGTGACAAAATAAGAATCTCGTTGAGTTGTCTTCTTGTATTTCAAGCATGAATTAAGTCTTATTTCAATGTTTAGAAGTAAATTAATGGTAAACTTCATTAAGCGTAAATTATATATATTTCGCGATGTAATCTAGCTAAACTTTTTGTTTAATTAAATAAATAAGTTTAAATTTAAAATTAAATTCAAGTATTTAAATGAGTAATTATTATTATTATTATTGTGTATGTATTATTTATTTAATTTTAATTTTTAAAAGTTGTATTTTAAATATGCGACTATAATTTTAAAGAAATACTATTTTTATAATGAAAAATATTTTTAATCTTAAGTCATATTTATGTAAATAAGAACATTTTCTTTATTAAAAATATTCATTAAAATTAAATTAATAAAAAAACTTTAAAATTTATTTAAAAATTATAAACAAATTAATGAATTAAGTTCAACTTTCAAAATTATTAATTAAGTCAAACTTAAATTAAAATTATTTTTTAAATAAATGAATAAAACTTAATTATTATTATTATTATTATTATTTACAAACTTTAAAAAATGAGCTTGCTTCAATTTATTTATACCCTACACACGAGGCGTGAGAGGAGACAAAATGAACCACGGAAGGCAAGGCACAGAAAGCATGGGGTGCCCGAAAATTCTATCGCAAAGGTGAAATTAACGGATCTGGATTGAGTGCAGTTGCTACCAAATTTTTTTTTATGTATTTTTGTATTTTCGCTTAAGTCTATATATTTTTATTTAAGCAAAAATGTAAATTTTTACCTAAATTTACGATACAGTTTCAGCGGGAACTGCAGTGGATCTGGGTCCGAAATTAACATTCTACGAAACTCTTCTAATTTACGAAGCAATTTCCCAAATAATCTTGAAAACGTGTTTTAGGGTTGTGTTGTGAACTCCTCTGTAAGTTGTTGTAATGCTTCTCTTTCCAGTCATTTCAATTCTCGTCACCAATTACTGTGTATAGTAAATAAAAATTGACGAACCAATTATATATCATCACTATTCTTTTATTTGAACTGATTGGAATGAAAAAGTAGCTTCGTCAAATTTATTTAGCATTGTTCAAAAGTAAAATATCTATAAAATTACCGAAAACAATTCATTCGTCTTTGTATTCACGAATTATTTTAGTGATATTTATCATTTTTTTAGATAAATCGATAAGACAAGACCCTTTGAAATAATTAAATTAATTTGATTTCAATTCTTAAAGGAAAAATACTTATTAGTTTCATATAATAGGTAATTCCCATTTATACTTTGGTTTATTTTAACATTCATAATATTATATGACAGTAGATATGTATTTTAATTAAAATACATGATATAATAGAAAATGTTAAATAATGAAAAAAATATGATAATTATTGATTAAGAAAGAATCATAATCAAATGAGGTCTAAGCATCTTTTTTAATGATATTTACTAAGGAAGAGAAAATTTTCTTGAAAACAAAAGGAGGAAAAAATTAACAGAGTAGTGTTTCACTCCTACGAGCTTTACTAAATTTTACACATAAAAGTGGGTTAGTAAATAGTAAGTAGCTAACTGAAACTTAATTTATTTTTCCGTGCACATTTTTTTTTTAATAATTTGCACATATTAACATTACCAAGAAAATAAACATTGATATTACCTAAATGAAAAAATATTAAACTTAAATCCCCTTAAAATAATAACTTGTTCTTTTTTCCTACACCTTTAAAATTGCAGGATTTCCGATTAATTTGGAGAAATAATAATGTAGTTCTAACAAAGTTTTTCAATTACGAATCTAATCATTTAAAAATGTAATATCTCTAGATAGTCCAATTGATTGTTTTAAGTTATAAAATAAGATATTTATTAGCTTGACTTGGGCACACTAAACAAAATTTAATGGATTCTACAAATGAAAAAAAAAAGTAATTTTCATATATTATTAGAATAAAATATTTTACGTTAATAATTAATTAAAACATATATTAAATATAATTTTCCAATAAAAAATAATTTTTTTATGAATATAGTAATTTATAATTAAATTATAAAACGATAATCACATTCTAATTAAATTTATATATAAAAAACACATTTCTGACCAGACAAAAGAAAAGAAAAGATATCACAAACTTGCTTCTGCTTCACAACAGTGAAGCTCCACCCCCCTGACAACAGTGAACACTTGCAAAGCTCGTGAAGAGTGAATTGAGGATTTGGTGGAAGAAGTTGCATACTGAGAAACAAGGAATCGAGAGAAAGGAAGCGAAACTATGAGCAGTGATAGGAAAATTGGGGTCGCCTTGGACTTCTCTAAGGGAAGCAAGATTGCTCTCAATTGGGCTATTCACAATCTTCTCCGTAACGGTGACACCCTTTTCATCATCCACATCAAGCCTTCCCAAGGCGATGAATCCCGAAATCTTCTCTGGTCCACCACTGGTTCACGTAAGCTCCGTTCCTTCATTTCCCAACTCTCCCCTTATCATCAAAATCCTTTTTTTAAAAATTATTTCCATCATGTTGTCGAATACGGATCTTGGATTCTGAATATGGTGATGTGGGTTTTTGGGATGAAGCTCTGATCCCGTTGTCGGAGTTTCGTGAGAAGGAGGTGATGCATCATTATGAGGTGGACACTGATGCCGAGGTTTTGGACCTACTTGACACCGCTTCTAGGCAGATTCAGGTTTTCAACTTTACTACCTTGATTATCTTGTGTTTTTTTTAGCCTTTGATTTTTTGTTAAGTTAATGTTTGTTTGATTGCATGTTCAGACTGACTTAACTTGCATTGAATATAGGTGACGGTGGTGGCAAAGCTATACTGGGGTGATGCAAGAGAGAAGATTTGTGCAGCTGTTGGGGATTTGAAGCTTGATTCTTTGGTCATGGGTAGCAGAGGCTTGGGCGCCATACAGAGGTACTTTTTTCTTATCATGTAACCCTCTAGAGATAAGTTTATGCTTCAAAATAAGATTAGTATACTGAAAAATGCACCTTGACTTATGTCCTTATTGAGATGGGATTTGGTTAGAGTTCTAGATTCCTAATTTGTAGGAGTGAAGTTTTGGATACAAAGGAAATGATAGAATAGTATAAATTTAATGTCTTGTTCTATTATTTATTTTTATGAACAATATGTAATTTTTTAAGCTTAAAAAGGAAAAAAAAATGTTTTTAAAACCCCACCTTCCAACACAGAAAATGAAACACAAAATCAACAACTTGTAATATATTTTGATTATATAGAGTTAATTTCATGATGCTGTTCATATTAATTGGTCGATTGTAGGGTATTGTTGGGGAGCGTGACCAGCTATGTCACCACAAATGCGAGTTGCCCCGTAACAATTGTGAAAGACTCTTCCCCTTCAACCATCTGATTCGCCACTGAATTTGATTGGCCTATGCAACCTGTTCTTTCATGTTCACCAGTGACCTGGGTGTTTCCCTCCGTTCTTGCTGCTAATATATGCTTAGTAATGATTTGTGAAGAATAAGGTATAGAGTTAAGAGTCTCTTTTTAAGTGTTTGGCAATAGCCAAAAGTGTGCCTAATTACCAATAAATAAGCTTTCTGCTGGATCTGTTTCAAACTTAGTACTGAACATGATGCAGTGACGTGAGATGTTTAATAGTTGGTTTGATTCTCACTGTCTTTGTTGTTTCACATAATTATCAACCTGTTGCTTTTGAGGGTATTCTTACACCGTTTCCTTGATGGAAATTTCTCTTCCTTCTCTTAAGCTACTTTACATACTTTGGAGAATCACCTGTTTTTTCTTCCTCTGTTATTTTCCCTTCTTATATACGGTTCACTCCCTCTCTCTAACCTGTGTTCCAATTTCCAAAAGGGGTAAGGATTGTTTTTTCATGTAGCACAAGCCTCATTTGAATTGAATGTATCCTTGAATCATTACCCAATATTTAAGGTTGTGTTACTGTGTTACACAATATCATTACACAGTTTTTGCCTAAGCATTATGTCAAGCGTTGCCATAGAATTTTCACTTGAAACAAAGTCGCCCGTTCTTTATTCTTTGGATTCATGGGTCATCAATTATTTGTACTTGCGCTATAATTACATGCTATTGATTGAATTAAGAATCAATTATGTTGTTATTTTGCTTTGTGCATTTGTATACCAGTAAGTTTTTGGGTAAAACAATTCTTCATTTTTTGTACAGTGTGTTAAAATAAATTTACAAAACTAATATGCAGGTGTGGAAAGAGAAACTTCTTTTTATTGATAGTCCCTGTTGGACAGACATAGGGTTTTGTAAATAAAAAAAGGATTTGCATCCGCGTAATTGAAAGTCTTTAGAGAGAAAATGAGATTATTGCTGATGATCGAAAATATTTCAAGATGATTTAGTTAAGTATCCTATTGCATTTTTTAACATTTGTTTATGTTTTATTTTATTTTTTCTAATTTTGTACAATAGTAGTGAATAGGGGTGTGAATGATTTTAATTTGGATTGATTTTTAAATAAATAAATTTGGACGTAAAAAAAATTTGGTTAAATCTGAATGCAATATCAAATTCAATTTCAGTCCAATACAAATTATATCAGGTAAGACAGATATTAACAAATTCATATTCTATTCTCCATCACTAGTGAGTTCAAAGACTCTCATCCATTTCTTGTAGTGGACCAGCTTCATATTCTTAGATAGTTCTTATAATTATATACAGCGAACAAAACCAGAGGTCGTTGTAGTATAGTGGTGAGTATTCCCGCCTGTCACGCGGGTGACCCGGGTTCGATCCCCGGCAACGGCGAAAAATTTTAAATTTTATTTTCGATTTCGTTTACGATTGATTACCATATTGAGAAGAAAACAAGTTAACAGAGTTGGTTCCATTCCAAACGTAAGCTTATACGCGACTCTGTCACACACACACACAATTGTTATTTGTTGTTGCTTGCAAGCAATACAAAAGGCTGAACCTCAAAAAACAACCCACATTGCCAAACCCAACATTATTACATTAATGCTACCTTCCTTCTTTCTTTTGTTTCACCACCGGAAATGTCTGACGTGTCTCGCCGGAAACTAACGACTACCAGAATTCACATAATGGCCTTAGACGGCATCGTGAACGTGAATTCCCTCTTCACCTTAGCACTCTTTCTGGGCATCACAACCACCAACACCAACAACACCCTCATTGATGGCAACGCCGCTTGCGCCGCCGGAACCTCCATTTCCGAAGGTCTGATCGCCTTCCACGTCTACTCCTTCAGCTCCTTCCTCTTCTCAAGCCTCGTCGCTTTGGCTCTCAAAAACGTCATCAACCTCAGCAAGGACGTGGACGATGGGGATAGTGACACTCTGGATAGGGACATAGCTACCATCAACAACTGGGTGCACGGTGTTGTGAAGATTAACATGGTAGTTTTGAGATTGGGGACTCTGGTTTCGGCTTTTGGGTCGGTTTTTGGATGTGGGTTTTTGGTGATGGCTCTTGTGGATTTGGTACAGATCAAGTTGGGGACTTTGGCTTGTGGTAGTCGTTATACTTTGGCTGCTATAGCTCCTTTGCTTGTTCTTGTTCCCACTGCGTTACTTATATATGTTGTTCTTGTGCTCTATGCCTTTACTCGTTAAGGTTATTATTGCATGGTTGATAAAAAAATGATTATTTAATTGTGTTTATTTAACGAGTCAAAATAGATGATGTTATCATTGTCAACGATTAAGGAATCGAGGATGTCTGAAAGGGTGAATGAAGAGACTGGGTCCAAAGTATAGAGTTCAATTTTATTTTATATTTTAACCAGGAAATTGTATCATTTGAGTTTTATTGTATATATGAAAATTTATATTTTTAGGAATGTTTATGTTCATAGAAGCAGGCAACAGCAACGGTTGCTGAAATTTTGTTCTCCTGCAGATTATCAAATTCTGAGATTTTCTTGCGCTGAGGAGTGGAGAGCACGTGATTAGGTTTCTTCATTTTACTTGCTTCTAACCTCCTGCATGTGATTAAGTCTCTTACTTTGAAAGTTACCTAAAGTTCTTCCTCATCTGCACCTTGCCAGAAAAAGCTATGACACATATCTTTCATAGTTCTTCCCAAAGTTCCTCTCTCTCTCTCTCTCTAAATAAAATAAAGTTGAAATTTGTCTGAGAAATCAGTTTTTTTTATAGTTTATTACTTAAGAAGATGCTTCCCCAATAGAGTTTAAGGCAGAATTTTTAGTTGTTGAGTCGCGGCTTTCATCCTCACATGTCCATACTGTAAAAGTTGCTTTGGGATATTGTACCTTAATCTCATGATTTTGTTCTTTCTTGCTGGGTTATTGCCATGGTTTGCTACATATTCTAGCCGCAAAGTTGTGGAACTGTTGTATTGGAGATAATTTAACAAGAGTCCTTTTCCTTTGCATGATAAATTTTTTTTAATGTCTATAGTGATAAATCTTAAAAATTTAGAAATTATAAAATCTTAAATTATCTTGTGACTACTTGGAATGGCCTGAGCTTACAATGATTTAGCCTGTGTTTGGAACGCCATCCAATTTCTAAAATACGTGCGTTCAGTGAATGCTACTCAGTGAATACTACTTGGAATTTGTCCTCAGTTATAATTATTATTATTTATTAAAAGCCAATATAAACTCAGCTATTATTTTAAACTCCAAAATACAATCTCATATATGGTTCATCAGTACAATATACACCCCACTGAAAAGGCTAACAAGTGTTCAAATTTTCACATACTGGTATTCGAAAGCACATGCATTTAAGGGTCACATACTGGCATAACAGAACATATGAGAACATCATGAAGATTTGCGATGCCATGGATAGGAAAAGCGAAGGGAAATGATTCAGTAAAGAACTGAATAATTCAAGACAACGATTGCAAATGACACGGGGGTGGATTTGAGCTATATGTTGAAGTTATCAAATTGATATTCAGTCCTGAATCATTAAGCTAATTTTTTAAACTGCGAATCATAATTTGTACAAAATCGTAAGATACATAGACAATACAAATAACTTCAAATATATCATATAAATGATTCAGTGTTGGAACAAATTAACCATAAGTCTCACAAAACAAAATTATCATTCATAACTGATTTTGAACCCTCTGTTTTGGAAGAACGAAAATAGATCAATGAAACAACTAATAGAGTGCATACATTGAATGAACGAGTAACAAATAGAATAGTAAAATAACCAAAAATAATTAATTTAATATGCTCGAGTAATTCCTTTTTATTTAACAACTTAAGCTTATATAACTTATCAATTTCTTTCATAAAAATTGGTGGGCGAAAAAAAGAAAAAATAAAAAATCGTTAAATTGTGTAATTTGTAACGATGATGCAAAACTGTTCTGATTCATTCGTATATTGGAAGATTCAAAATCATTTGAGATTCATCATATGAAGCAAACCGTTGGCTATCCTATCGATACCTATATTTAGTTACCTTTTCCTTATTTTCCCTTAATAAGTAAAAAAGCTGTGTAATGCTTATCGATAATATTGATATTAAATGAAGATGGCATTTTTTTTATTGCTAGGAAAATGACCCAGCAGTGAGTTGATATTGATTTTTGAAATTGCTATAGTGGTTCATGATGGTTTCTTTGACCCATTCATTCTTGTGTTTGCGTTCTGTTGGTTTTGTTGACAGGTGCACCTGAGAGTTTTAAGAGAAAAAAGGTTTTGCAGGATAAGAATGAAGTAGCATCACGACAATCATCTACTGCCTATATCAATGTTAGTTTAATTTGGAGCATTGCGCACATTTTTCTTCGTTTTAATGAAGATTTGTTAAGTATATATTTTACTGGCCCACATGATACCCCACACGACTTGTCAAATATTAAGTCTGAAACCAACAACTAATAAAGGTTAACAACATAAAATGGATGAGTACAAGGATATAATAGCAACTCCCCCACTCCTCACCTTCGTTAAGCAGGGTAACATACATCCATCAAAAGACTGTTGGGCAAAAATACTAATGCGAATTTCTTTTCCTTTGATGACAATTTGTACATTGTTGACATGGATGATGGAAGAGCATTAAGATCTTTTCAACCGGGTGAATTTCAATCAGTTTCAATACCAAAAACTTATCTTCCTTGAGAGAAGACTCGTAGATAGTAAACAGTAAGTCTAAACCCTCAATAAATTACCTAACCGGCCATAAACATGCAATGCATATAGAGTTCGAAAATGATCGCAGCACCCCAATCCTCAACTCGTACTTCTGCAGTCATTTTATAATCCAGCTCCTTCCAAAATGTACCATGGTGCCCAGGAGAAGCTATTTATACAACAGAGGTTAATAGAATTTTCATAAGCATTACTATACTGATATCTGACTTGGTGAGTTATTAGTCCAGGGGAACATGATAAGTATGCAAAATTATAGGCTAATTTCTTGTCACACGAAAGAAAAAGACAAATGGTTGAAACCCTTTTATCTTTAACAAAACTAGTTTCATCCTTAAAGGTGGATAGGCGCTACTTAGCAACATAGTCTAAACATCAAAAGTAGCAAAATGACATACAAGAGTTCTTCATGACTCCAATACGACCAAATCACACATCAGAGGATGACATGGGGAACTTAATGGCATTGTCATATTTCTAGTTTCTAATGACATATCATGATAAGTTTAAAATCTTATAACTATAATACATTCCTCATTGTTGACTTTTTCCGGTAAATTTTCCTTCAATAAGCAAGCCTAGTGCTATCAAACTTGACTATCTTCTTATCTTTTTGATGGAGAAAATTCACTATCTGATTATTTCAAGGCCCACAAGCATATCGGGTTTATTCCAGAGCTTGCGATTCTTTTAAATTAAACTCATTAACATTGTAATTTGTGCTTAAATGCGTTCATGAGTACAACAAAACACAGTTTATTTAAAACCAAACTTTTGAACAGAGTGAAGGGAAAGGATAAAGTGTTCAAACCTTAGCGTGCGCCAAATATCTCTTGCGGTGGATCAAAGATACTTGCGTCAGGAAAAATCTCCTCGAAATCCTGTTTCACTTTATTTCTCAAAAGAGGATGCGGCAGAAGTCCTTTCAACAAAATTCTGAAGGGCAACTCCTCCGGTGGATCAGGAGAATTCTTCATGTCCTCATACACATTCATCGCGTCCGCAGGAGATCCATATTTCAAGAAGCCCCTTATAACTTCAGTATAAGTCTGAGAATCAGGGTACAGATTCTCCTTTCTCATATTTTCCCACAATTGCAACACTTCATCCATTTTTCTAGACCTTGCCAATGCAATAATCAAGTCCTTATAAATGTATGCATCAGGCTTGTACCAATCTTGCTTTTGCATCACCTTAAACATCTGAGAATTCATTAAAATTACTCGTAAGCCCAAAATTACGAGTAGAGTGACAATAATCCACACCAATCACAATCAAACATTATAACAAACAAGTTGTGACACAGAAGCATTATAACAAATAGGTTACAGGTAACTAACATAATAACAAAAGATTAACAGAATTAGAGTAAGAGAATGAGAAAAAACCATAAGAGCCAGAGAAACTTGCTCTTGGCGTTCGAGTTCAGTGAGAACAGCGATCATGTCCATCTTCAAGAGCCTGAAAACATGAGTTTTGATGAATTTGTGAAGCTTATCTTCGTCGTCCTTAAACCTCTTCAACCCCAATATCACAAAGAGCGCTTCTTTGCCAATGAGCTTCTTTCCCTTCCAAAGGGGACCTCTGGGCCTTCCGTCGTGGTACTGTCTCAAACACGACGTCGTTTTGAACGAGTTACATTCTGACACCGCAATGGAGGGTCTCAGAGGCAATGAAGTTGAAGCGTGTTTTACGGGATTGCTGATTCTCATAAAATCTCCCACCATTACCGAAGCCAAATGACGGATTTTCCATGCTTTTGCGAAGGAACGACACGCCATCACACTTCACTCTACTTCAGAAATTCATAAGCATGGGGGCTGGGGCACGGTACTAAATATGGCACTGTTTGGAAAGAAATGTCACAAAATTTTCAATACAAAAAAGGAAAGAAAAAAAATGCAAATGACAGAGACACTGCGGTCTTATTGGGAGGGGAATCGTTGGTTTGGGTTTAATATTGGGCCTGGGGCCTTTTCTTTGTTCTGCTTTGATTACCCCACCAAAAATTAGAAAATAAAAATATAATTAGTCTCACCTCACAATACAGCTCAAGTAATAAGAGCTAATAGATTAAATGAATAATGATAAGAGTTCGAATTTTGAGTCTTAAAGTTTTTTACATTAACTTCTCTCTTCCCCAATCCTCCTCCTCTAATGACAAAAAATTAATATTAATAATAACAATAATTGGTCTTTGACCAAAGAGATCCATAATTGGTCTGTGTCATGCCAGTGCCTTTGTTTTTCAATTTGCGTATACATCATATACGCTTTGATTTGCTTTACACTTTACAACCAAATTATGGGTAAAAATATCATAGTTAAATAGAGTCCTGGCTACATCATTCTTGTTCTTGAACTATTTTTTGTTAAAAACTTTTCGTACTGTCTAGCTAGTAATCTTTAGTAGAAAGAATTCGTGACATTATAGCGCACAGCTGGTTATCTTTACATCATCATCCTTGCGTTACTCAAAATCAAAGCAACATAAATGCTCAATTATGTTAGTTTTGCAATATTTTCCCGTTCTCTCCCAGCAGAAAGAGTATACGAGTTATAAATCGGTATAATTTAGGTAGCTAACATAATTTAGTTTGTTTAACGAGCTTTGAACTTACTCAAATTTCTTCAATGACCAAAATGAATATTATTGGAAGAAATCTGAGTCTGCTTTTGACCAGAGTAACATGTTCATAAAAAATTAAAAAAATACTTTTTTAAACTCTCGATCTTATTAAAAGATATGCTGAGTAATTAAAAGTGAAATAACATGGCCACCGATAAAAATAAACATGAAAATTTAAGAATTATGATCCTTACATAACAGAAGGATTAAAAATCACTAATACTGATTTTTGTGGTAGCGAAACACCAACAGTTAAACTAGTAGGACAATGGAAGATGACAGAATCCTTGTGATATGATATGATGGGTTCACATTAAGGCAGGACAAAGGTAGGCACAGGTGCTATTCAAACTATTCCATACCATGCTTATTGTTCAGTGTTGCCATACACAATATTGATCCCCACTCTTTATCCAACAAAGCTCTACATTCTTTTCATGTTTCGCAATCCAACCACGTTAGACTTCCCGCTTCGTACAAAAACATTATCAAATCCTCCCAAATGGAAACAAACAATGCGTTGCGTACCAGAGACCAAAGTAAGGAGTGAATGATTGAGAGGATTTTATACCGTGCTCCCTGCCTATAGGTTAAGATATCCCACCTGGGATAAGAATAATACAGCCAGAATACTGCTGGCTAAGATAGTCCTCTTCCAAGCTAACTTTTAAAACTAAGTTAACATTATTAACATAATATCAAAGCTTATTCACTTAAAAATAGAAATAGAAACTGAGGTAAACTCCACTTTGGTTCTTGAAACATGTAATTTGACCAAAATTACTCATTGATAACATTAAGTAACATTAATATCAAAGAAATTTTGAACTACATAAAACTATTATATATAATATCACTTTTATTAAATTGATCATGATTAGTTGTTTATTCATAGATTTGAGACTTGAATTTAGTAATGCAAGTTAAAAAACTTAAGATAAAGAACTTTTACAATGCAAATATTTAAAAGAAAAAAGAAAATATCATAAAAGAAAATAGTGTAGAAGGAATAAAGAAAGTCTTTATTGTTTAAAAATATTAAAAGTTATAGATAAAAATAAAATATTTTTAAATAATTTTAAAATAATATTCTTTTGTATTTAGAATAAATTCACACGTGTCTTTTAACATAGTAAATTATTATTCTGTTATTTAATTTTAACATCTCTTAATACTATTAACTATTATGATTAATAATTGTTAAGTTCATAAACTAAAATTTTAAATTTCAAATTTAAAAGGTTAATCTAAAAAATGTTATATATATTTTAAAAGATAAAGTGAAAGTTTACTTTAAAATTAAGTTAAATTAATCATGTTCTTGTAAGCTAACTTTTAATTAGACTTGAATTTCTTTATCAATATAATTAATTAATTACATTTCACATTTAATTATATTTTTAAGTAAATCCATAATTTTTAATAACATAAATTTCTAAAATATAGAAGGCAATAATTATACAATAGTTCAAAAATCACGATCACATTTGGATTATATTGAAAGTTTGAAACAGCTTACATTTACTGTTTTAGGAAGTATAACAACTAAACATTCTCATATTGAAGAGCAGCCAAAGAGAGTATGGAAACGGCCAACTGGCATCAATTTTAACTTATTTTTACAATTGATGTTCTACCACACTCCAATGGTTCCTTCCTTTAATTAGCGATGTTTAGCAAAAACTATCAAATCCATTCAACATTTAAAAACTAAACCATTAAAGGCCAGGGCCTACAAAAGATCCATGAAACACGTACGAGATACACGGAGGAACTGGAAAATAAAACTAGGAATGCAAAAAGTGGGGATTCAATGATGAGATAAAGTGATCAACGTCAATATTATGAATTTATGACAAGGAAAGGCAGAAAAGAACATAAGAATTGCAAACCAATGAGACAATAACTGACCTTGAGCTTAATTTACAGAAAACACACAGCATATGAAACGTTATACAAAATCCCTTCAACGGAGAACCAAATTCCACAAACATCAATACTTGAACAACCAAACAGAATCACACAATTACCTACCAAGTAAGCTATAAAGAGACCCGTATATTTAATAATAATATCCAAAAACTAAAACATCAACATTAATTTCTAGAAACAGTTCAACTAAAATCCCTCCCTTTACAAATTTACTTCACCGACTCTTCCTTCTTCATCTTCCTTCTCCGTGTCGTTCAACCGTACTCATCACGAAAATTCCAAATTCCATTTTCTTATGTTTGACGGAAGCCATGGACCCACCAACTTCTGTATGCATACGGAGGATCCCACTTTTCTGTTAGTGTCACGGGGCACAGATCAATGCACAAAAATACGATTTTCAATGCATAAATTTATGGACCAAAAATATACTTGTAAAACTAAAGTATGAGTACACTTTCATTCTTGCTCATTAGTGAAGAAAATTTCCAATTGCTTGGCATGATTGGATCTAGACTAGTCTAGGGGTATCGTAAATATTATATTTTTCCCCATAAAAATGGATCCTCTTTATTTATTTTTTTAAATTGACAACCATTCAAAAATTTAAAACAGCGAAGATCTGAACTACTTTTTCTAACATCACTTCACCCCCTTCCAAAAAAATAAAATAAAAAACACGTTCATTCATTCGATGCAAATTTGTATTGCGACAAGTTGTGTTTGATTTAGTCAATAATTAACGCAAGTATATGAATATATATTCGTAATTTATACAACGACCAAAACTATAATATGACATTCATATAAGGACAGATAAGACGGTATAACTGGTGAATGTCTGGTCTTCGATTTTAAAAACAACAATTCCCAAGTTTGATTCCTTTTTCTATGATTTGTTTCATGTAACTGCCAGCAGGGTCTACAGGTATATCAAGTCGCTTCTTGGTGGCCTAAAGCCTAATTTATACAGGAACTTAACTTAAGTTAGGATCACTTTATATATATATTATTATATTAAAATTATAGAGTGTGATAAAAGTTTCTTTCTTATATATAAAATTTTACTATTTTAAAATACTTAACCCAACTTCAAGAATTAAATTTAACATTTTTTTTATTAAAAATGTCACGTCAGTAGTATAATAATAATAATAATACCAAATATGTTTTTGTTAATTTTGGCAGTTTTTATCGCTATAATTGATAAAAAAGGATAAATTAGAATAAAAATAAAATTAAAGAATTATATTACTAAATATGTTTATTATTATTATTTTTAATTTAATAGAACTAAATAAAGAGATAAATGATCAAAGTAAAAAAGAAAACCAAATTGGAATAAAAACTAAGTACTAATCTTGTTTTTTTAAGTATTGATTTAATATTTTAAGATTATATATCTATTTTATTCAAAAGCATAAGCACATTGACTTACATATAAGTTCAAGCCACTATTCTATTTAGATGTAATTTTTTTAACCTATTTAATGGATCTTATTATAAAATAGGCTGTCAAATAAATTTATAGATAAATCTTAAAAAATACTAATATTAAATAAATAGTTAGACTTATATCTTAAATTCAAAAAATTAAGTTAAACTTAAACTGTATAAAATTTAACTTGACTCGACATAATCTTATAGTCCTAGGTGCTATTGCTACACATATTTTTTATTACTAAAATTGTTCAACTTAATGTTTTTGTTTTAGTGAAAATTTGTTATTTCCGTGGCAAAAAAAAAGTATTGCCATTTTAACTTATAATAAAAAAATGTCTTTTGAATCCTACCATAAACTATATTTTAACCTTAATGTTCATTCATATTTCACTAATAATAAAGTTAAATGTTGTGACCTAAGAGAAATACATCGCGTTATTTTAATAATAAAACTATAATTTTTTATAGAATTGTCAAATCTCTCATATGTTTAATTTTTAGCTTCAATAATCACATTACCATCTTTAAAAAAAATATACACAAATTTAAATACAATATTTTGCGTTTTTTTAATGTCATTTAACCAAAGTTAAAATTTTGTTTTAATAAATTTCATAAAAAATGAAATATTTAAAAATGATAATAATTATCAATATAAATATCAAATTTAAATTAAAAATAATACCAAAAATATAAAATACCACATTGTAAAAAAATTTAAATACCATTTAAATAAATTACTTTAAAAAGAATAATTATACTCTCACATAATCAAAATACAATATTATAGTATCTTTTACAACAATGATAAAAAAATAATGCAACAAAAAACAAAATAAAAAAAATATTAATTTCTTGTTTTAAAGCTGAATTTAAGTATTTACTAAAAGAAAGATATACTATTTTATTTTTTTATCTTAGTAAGAGATAAGATTAACCAAATTAATAAAAAATATAAAAAAAGATATACTATGATGAAAAAAACATTATTTCTCTATAAATAAGGCTAAAAAAACAACATAGCAGTTTGCGCTTCCTTGATCTTTTCCTTACCCTTTTTATTTTTTTTCCTAATCTCAATTTTAAAGATAATTTTAAATGTTAAAACTTAGTAAATTTTTATTTTAAAAAATATTTTTATTACATCAAAATTATAAAAATATATATTTTTAAATTACTATTATTAATTATTTAACTTTAATTCTAAAAACAAAAAAATATTAGTAATTACTTAAATTCAGTTCTGAAAACTATGATAAATATATTTGATTAGTATTTTGATTCATATTTTATTATTTTTGATCTACCTGAATCCTGATGGTGATACAAAATTAAAAACGATGGTGGTGAAATAGTTGCATTCCCTTTGTGATTCCCCTCATTAAATTTGATAAACGTGACAGGAAAGGAGAAGAGGAACAAAGAAAAGCGTGGCAAGGGCACTTTGTCCTTAATGCATCACACTGAGTCCACCCTCTACCCTCTACCCTCAACCCAGCTTCCTTGTCCCATTCTTCAACACGACACCGTTCCTCCGCAACAATTTTAAATTATTATTTTATTTTTTGGGTACTAAAAAAACGAACCTTATTTATTTGCCGTTCGAATTGCTTTCTCACTCATCGATATTTCCGTTCTCCCATTGGCCAATTCGGCCACTCTCCCCTGAAAAAGCCTCCACCTCTGTTCCCCTCCCCTCCGGTTCGTTCGGTTACACCAACCGTTCCCTACCGCCGTCTCTCAGGTTCCATACTTCGCTGAGCTAACAACTCAAAACTTCACCCAACGCATTTCATTTCTCCATCAATCCATCCCACGGTGAGTTCTTTACCTTTCCGATTTTCTCAAAACTTCCTGGTTTTGACGTGCGTGCGGTTCCGATGGTGCGCGTTTGGATCTGATTGAATATTGCGTCTTGGATCTGGCAGGTTGGAGAGATCGGAGAGGGGAGGAGCTATGGCGCATAGAGTGGACCACGAGTATGACTATCTGTTCAAGATCGTGTTGATCGGAGACTCAGGTGTGGGCAAATCCAACATTCTCTCAAGGTTTACTCGAAACGAGTTCTGCTTAGAGTCCAAATCTACTATCGGAGTTGAGTTCGCCACCAGGACTCTTCAGGTACTTCTATTTCCTTTCTCTTTCATTGTTTTTCCATATTCGTGTGATTCTGTGAACACGTGTGCCTTTGCCGATTGATCCTTTGCATTTTAGATTTCTAGAGCGTGTCCTTCTGCTTGAATTTGAATTTCTGCTAGTTAATTGCATATATAGGTATTCGAGTATCGTTCTGTTGGTATTTTTTGTTCCAAAGCATTGACTGATTAGCTTATAGTTCAGATCCTCTTCTGAGGAACATCCAGTGTGGATAGATGTCTTGGGGGAATGATTTTAGCTTCACTTGATGTGATCAAGTGGAGAAGGACTCGGATTTGTTGTATATTTTAAAAAAATTATTCAAGTCTTAGCCTGATTTATCATACCTTCAGATGGATTGTTGCTTCTTAGTTAAAAATTCAGATTTTGTGCGTGAATATATCAGTAACCAAATTATTATGAATGCGTTGATCTTGAATGCTGGAGCTTAAAAATAATATTATAGGGTGGAGATTGATTTTTTTTGGTTGTTGAAGTTGTTTTGAATTTGATGATACTGCAGAGATGGTTTGATTATGAGCACTGTTAATGGTTGTTTCTTTGTCTTCCCCTACAGGTAGAGGGAAAGACTGTGAAAGCGCAGATCTGGGATACAGCAGGTCAGGAGCGGTACCGTGCCATTACCAGTGCTTATTATAGAGGAGCTGTTGGTGCTCTGCTTGTCTATGACATAACTAAGAGGCAAACCTTTGACAATGTCCAGAGGTGGTTGCGCGAATTGAGGGACCATGCAGATTCTAACATAGTTATCATGATGGCTGGAAATAAATCAGATTTGAACCATCTTAGAGCTGTTTCAGAGGATGATGGTCAAGCATTGGCAGAGAAGGAAGGTCTCTCATTTCTTGAGACATCTGCACTGGAAGCAACCAACGTTGAGAAGGCATTCCAAACCATTTTGACAGAGATCTATCATATTGTTAGCAAAAAGGCACTTGCAGCTCAGGAAGCAGCTGTTGGCAACTCACTTCCTGGTCAAGGAACCACCATCAATGTTGCTGATGCATCTGGAAACACAAAGAGAGGCTGCTGTTCTACTTAAATGTGACATTTGAGGAAAAAGTGTTGCTAGCAGATAGTATTTTTTTCTTCTTCCAATTCTGTTTTGCCCCTTTCTCCTTTTTTTTCCTTCTTCTTTATGAGTGAGAGAGAAACATGTAGAGTACATTTTCTTCATTGAGTTGCTGACGACAATGTGAAATCTAAAAAAAATAGAGTTGCTAGTTTCTTTGCATTATCTTTCCATCTTGTGATAGTTTCTCATGAATTGGTGTAATATTGAAACTGACAGATATTGATGATATAGCATGGTTAATGGGAATCTGACATTTCAGAGAGGCCATGTAAGATTATACGTAGCTTCTGTTTTTGTTGATTCATTGTTGTTACAAGGCTACTTTGAGACCTGGTAAACGGAATGTATGATCTCTTCTGCAAGCTCTTCTTTTTCCCATGTAAACCAGCCCGTTGGTTACTTCTGGAGGTAAAATCAAGAACCTCATTTGCAAATAGATGATTATAAATTCAATTTAAGTTTAAACTGACAAAACTAAAGGTAGCCCAATTTATAAAGTATGAGGAGAGCATTTCTTTGTCAAGATTGTAAGAGATGCATTTTGTTAAGGACAAAACTTAGGTGTAATATCACAATATTAACATTATTTTTAATTAAAATCAGAGTATTACAATACTTCATTAACTCATAACAAAGAATTAGAAAATAACGCTGAAAGTACAAATAATACTATATCAAAGTTTTGTTCGTTGGTAGTTAAAGAGGTAGGACCTTGAAGCCTTCGCATTTTCTTGTATTTTGGTTGTTTAGAGTGTTCATTGCAAAATTGAGGGACACTTGAGGTTGACGTGCAGTACAAGCAGTTTAGTGTTGCATTCTGTTTGATAAGTAAGCATCGGGTCCAACCATACAAAGTTCACTATAATATTTGTTTTACAATAAAAAGATAATACAATTTTTTGATATTTTAAAATTTTTTTTGAACATTTATCATTTAATTTTTTTCACACTCTAGTCCTAACCCTTAATATATAACATGTCATTGGCCTTTATAACAGACCAAATGTAATGTTTCGAGTGTACACTTGCCTTCATTGGGCAAAGATGGCAACTAACATCTTCCTTGTATGTACCCTTCCAATGTATACTTGTTTCTCAATGCCTAGTGTATCTTACTCCTATCAATATTCCATACCCGAAAGCCAAAACTATTCTCTTCGAACCCAACCGGTGCCTGCACCTTTCACAGTTGACCGTCCGACACGAGCATCGGTAGTCTCCCCCAACTCGACAAACTTAAGGCCAGAAATCTTCATCTTTGGGGTGTTGTTACTCTAAATGCATGACAGCGATACCTTCAAATTCATCCACATTATGCTCCTCAGCGTAGTGGAGGTATTCTCTGTCTTTGAGTGTCTCAGAGAACAAGGGAACATAAGACGGGGGAAGAGAATTGAGGGACATGGCTTTGAGAAGAGGGATATGAATGAGAGAGGAACAAAGGGTTGAGTGTTTTGATCTTTCGGATGGTGTTGTGCATGAGATAAGTTGTCTTTTAAGTAACAAATTTTTGAAATGTTGTCCCACGTTTATCATTTTCAAAATCAAACATGAAATGTGTTTTTTATGTTGTCTAATCCTTCATCTTTTGAGCATGTCAACTCACTCTTAAGTCAAAAACATAAAAGAAATTACACGTCTGGTGATTCTTTAGGACGATGCATCTGCTAATATTTAATAAGGAGAGAATAAAGGAGGGGAAAACAGTGTAGCATTACTCAATTTGTATGGTTACATGTTGTATTTGGAATGTTTTTTGACAGTAATACTTAATCACGCCACGTAGATCAATGTGACTGATGCCAGGCTCAGCCACTACATGGCAACATAGAACATTTTTTCCAACAGTTATAGCCCAGACGTGCAAATCATGAACATCCTGCACTCCCTTGATACTTCTGAGGCCTTTTTCCAGCTTACTGATGTTGATTTCACTGGGTGTCCCTTCCATTAGGATACTATAAATATTCCTAAGCATGGGCAAAGTAGTACTTAAAGATAAAACAGAAAATATAAGAGTGCATATAAGGTCAACTATAAACCACTCTGGTTCAGCCCATATTATGGCTCCCGCAATCATCACTCCAATAGATTGAATCATATCAGCCATGACATGCAAATATGCCCCTTGGATATTTATGTTCAATACAGTAGCCTCTCTATGACTGCTTGATACCAGGGTAAGGTTCTCCTCATCAGTTATGTTAGTTATGTCCTCCTTCCCATGATCATGATCAGTCTGGCACTGATGATGACTATGATCATGATCACAGCCATGATGATGACGACTATGATCATGACCAAGCCATGCAACCATGATAGAGTTTAGGACAAACCCAAATGCTGCAATTGCAAACATTAGTTTTCCATTCACCTTGGCATTTCGGAGAACGAGTCTACCAACTGCTTCATATATCAAAAAACCAGATATCAACCAAATTAACTGCACAGATAAGAGAGCACCCAAAACCTCAAGACGATTGTATCCAAAAGATTGATATGGAGTTGCTTCCCAACGGGAAGCCCACACTGCAAAGAGAGAGATGGAGAATCCAGCAATATCAGAAAGCAAGTGTGCTGCATCACTAATAACAGCTAAACTGTGAGCTTTTATACCACCAATAATTTCCACAACCATAACAATAGCATAGAAAAAAATGAGTCCACAAAGTTTCTTTGCCGACTTTAATGACTCTTCTGATGACACAGCACTGTTTTCATGCCCAGAAAAAGGACAGACACAACTGCAAGATCTCTCCACTGTCATTGGAGGAACATCAAGTCTATCAGAGACAATGGGTATCTCAATTTCCTGCATGGATCTAGCTTCCAAGATGAGGGCTTTCTCCTGTTCCATTTGCTTCTGCAAGCTGAGTCTTTATATAAGAGAAAAAAAACAAGAACAATCATTTAGAGAAGTCATGCCAAAGGCTTAGTCCAAGAGCAGTCAAAATGAAAATACATTCAAAAGGCCGTGTTTTGGTGAATTGTCTCGCTTGACAATTTCAAACTGAAGTGAGACACAGTAATTGGCATAAAATAAGAAAATTTTTGACATTAGGTTATAGTTGGCTGGTTAAAGACAACCTAGACTACTTCAAATTGAAGGGAAAAAAAAAGTTTGTAACCAACATAAAATAAGTGGAGATGGAATTAAATTATAGGGTGGTTGGGAAAATCACAGAACGAGGCAAAGCTACAAGCTCAACATCATAAGAGGAATGGATCCCTTCTGATGAGATTTGGACACGTGGAAAAATTGCGTTTATCTTAAACTTCTATTGCCTTAGAAAAAGCCAACTTGCACCCCTGCCAAACTTAATCATATATATAATATATATTTCACTGACGGAACAAAGAAATGATGATCAAAATTCAGAACCAAAAGGCACAGAAGCTAAAAGGTTTGATCCTGCTTTATGGATGGGTAAGGTTGATACAGCTAGATCACAATTTAGCATATAAGAAGAAGAAAAAAGAAAGTTTGTCTTTGAATAATAAACAGTAAAGAATCAATATGCAGACAAAGAAAAGGACAAGAAACAATAAAATAAATGTTACCAGTAGAAACAAAGGTGGAGAGCAGAAAATAGATTGAGAAGCAAAAAGGTGTATAAGTGAATTGGAATTTGAGAATTGTCGTAGGTGAAGTGGAAAGGAGGGGCTAGGTTTGAGATTGGAAGGAAAAAGAATATATGGTACTGAGTTAAAGATGTGTTGTTGGGGTGAACATGATATTGTACTGAGACACATCCATCGCCGGAGAGGTAGCAGCTAACTACTTAGTACGAACAAATCGTGTTCTTATATTATATGCATTTCCGTCCGAAATTAAGGGCCAAATAAACTTTACTCTCTTCTCTGCTGTAACATATTTCGGGTCAATCCTGCATGATACATACTCGTATCACAGTACAATACGGCACGTTCTTTTATTTTATATAAATTATAATTTTTGGCGTTTTAGTTTAATTATTTCACCTGTTTCAAATTATGAGATATCAAAATTTTATAAAACCATTTTTAAATCATTTAATATTATATATAATAATAATAATATTTGTTTTTATAAACTATGGTGTTTAATAATATAAATGTATTTAATTTTAAATAAAAAAATTATTTCATAGAATGTTGCACAAATTAAAAAATATTTATAAAACGGTAGTTATTAAATAATTTGGATTTTTTAAAATAAAATTTACTTTGTATAAAAAGTGATGAATCTTAATAATTAAATGAACGAAAGGCGACGACTAAGATATCAATAAATGTTTACTCGTTTAGAACAAAATATAAAGTTATTTAAATTTATTCTGTTGGTATTTCATAAACTACGATTAAGATATCTATAATGTTTGCTTGTTTAGGACAAAATAAAAAAAATTAAAAATTTATTCTCTTGATATTTTAACCATTTATATTTGGAACCTTTAAATTCTTCTTATTATTAGATATTTTATGGTTTTTAACAATTACATTGGTATCAAGTAAATATTTAATAATATTATTATACAATATAAATAATTAATATTATAAAAATAATAAATCTATTATAAATCCGTATACCATGAGTATAAAATCCTGTTGTATTCTTAAGTGAAACATTTAAAGCATTATATTCTTCTTATTTTTCTTATTAATATTCCTTGATCATCTCTAATTACTTTGCCGTATGTTATTACTTGATTTGATTTATTGTATAATTGACAATAGAAGTGTTGATGATCATCTTACCAATGTAGGCCATGTGAAGAATATGCAGAATTCTTCCTTGTGTTTTGTTTTTGGTCATCATGTTTAAGAAACAATGCTGAAAAGCTGTTTATTTTCTTGATCTTATTTTCGTTATAAAATAAGTGGTTTTTAAAATAAAATACATTTAAAACTTGGCTACACGAACCAAAATTAAACTTAACTTTAATTGGTGTAAATATTGATATTCAAATTTAAAAACAAATTTGAAATCGAATTGCTTTTATAATTTTTTCTATATCAGTTATGGTGAGTTAATCAGTTACCTAATCTGGTACGTGGAGTTATAACGTGGTGGACTTTTTATTTTCTTTGAGATATATTAGGTGGTGGACTTTACTTTTTACTTGCAAAAGTGAAATACTAAAAAGTAACACTATTTTACTTACTATTTTTCAAAATTTTATGTACCTTGATTATTTGGATTGACGTTAAATCTAGGAAAATTCTGTGCATTATATAAATATTATAAAATTAAAATAATTTATTATTTTTGTGTATTATATATTATTAAATTATATTTTAAATCAGAATTATATATACACATACACACACTTACAAGAATAAAAAATAACAAAGAAATAGATGCTCAATTCAGTAAAAGATAGTTTAATAACAAGAAAGATAATAGCTTTTAGCAACATTTTCATTTAAAAATAGCAACTTAGGTTTAATATATAGAGGTAAAGTTTTTCGAACAATTTTTTTAATATGTTGTATGATTGCTTTTAAATTTTAAAACATAATAATAATAATAATAATAATAATAATAATATTATTATTATTATTATTATTATATGATATGAATTTAAACTAAATTAGAAAGATAATGTTTTTAAAATGAGAAATAAATTTAAAAAATCCAATTTAAATTAAATTCAAATATGTTTTTCATTTTTATTAATGTGGTGTATAAGAAATTTTAAAATAAAAATTAAACTCGAATTACGATCAGTTAAGGTTACATTAATCTTAAATTTCTGTTTAGGACAAAAATATATTCAATTTAATATAATATATTAAATTTGAAAATTTCAATAATGTTAAATTTAAATTGAAAAAGAGAGATGACGAGTTTAAAAAATTAACCAAAAATATAAATATTCCAGAAGGCAAGTGGCATAATAAAAATCAAAACACCTGATAAAGACTGCACAAAGATAGTTTTGTATAATTTATTATGATTTGATTTAAAATAATTAGATAAAATATCCTTGTTAACTGTGCATGCATTTAAAATAATTAAACGATCGAATTCTTAATTGCCATTCCAAATCAATTAATCCATACTAAGTACTAACAACAATTTGTGAGTTGATTACAACATTCTCATGTTTTGATTACAACAATAAAAACTGAAATAGTTTATATTTAAAATTTTATATGCAATGTTTGAAAAATATTTTAGAACGAGACAAAACATAACATGAGATAAAAAGGGTAAATTTTATTCCAGTTGAAAAGGGCAAAATAGGAATAACAGAACAAAATAGAAAGAAATAGGTTGAAGAAACACTAAGCCCAATGTTTTGAAGTCACTATAGTAGCAGTTAAAGCCCAGCCCAGTATAACGAAAAACCCTAGTTTTGCAGAATCAATTAGCATATACCCTATTGATCTTATTATCGCATCGTATCACTCACTACATAGCAACCACAGAGTGAAGAAGCTGCGCTTTCCTTGCGGCCTCTGTCTCTCTGTCTGTCTGTCTCTCTCTCTAAGGTTTGTTTTCTCTCTCTTAAACTCCTTCTTTGTCACATCTTCACGATGTTATGGTCGTTTTACGTTGCACCTTAATCGTAATTTGAAAAAAAAAAACTGATTCAGCTTGTTTTTACCAGAGAATTCTGATAGTGTCTTTGCAAGTGTGTTTTAGCTTTTTCATGATATTAATATTAGTTTAGTTGTTTTTGTGATACTCGTGTATTCGAATCGGTTGTTATTTAGTTTGTGTTTGATTGAATAGTTGGAAATTGGGGACCTAGAAAAAGTGGATGGAATGTGTAACGTGATATTCATTCCAAGTGTAACCAGGTGGAGTAATAGAGTAAACTACTACCTCTTAGGTTAGAGAGCTGTCATTCTTTGTAAAGTGCGCGTATTGGGTCTAGATGTAGCAGCTCTCCTGTATTTTGTTACACTGGATTTTGTTATATGGGTATATGAAATTTGGTTTTTCTTTTGGTCAAATTGAAGCACCTTTCTTGGATTTTGAAAAGTTTAGCCGGCTTGAAACAAACACATTGAAAGGCTTTAGCAAACGAATTTTCTGATTTGGTTGACTTTACTTGTTAGGATACCAAGTACAAACTTGATTAACCTTGAATCCCAAATATTCGTTTGTTAGAATTAGTACTATTTAACCTATTGACATTATTGCTAATTTTTAGTGTATTATGTAGTCAAGCAGATTATCGTCGTACTCTTCTCCTTTCTGTATTTGGGCTAATATTTTTATATATATTTTTTATTCTTTTGCAGTCACATATTGAAGCTAGTTTTTGGTGCAAGGGAAAGTCAAGATGGTAAGTCAAGAATCATTGCTTAAATGCCTTGGTTTTAGGCGTATGTTCTTTACCTATCCATCATGTTTAACTGTGACCCCTTCAATTTGAGCAGGTCAAGTTTACAGCTGACGAGCTTCGTCGCATCATGGACTTCAAGCACAACATTCGTAATATGTCTGTTATTGCGCATGTTGACCATGGTATGGATTAAGCTGGTGCTATATTTTTGTTTTGGTTGTCACTTTTCTCGGACATGCCTTCTGGATGTAAATGCAATAAAGTGATTTGGTCTTTGTTCCTTATATGATAACATGGTTATAATTGTATTGTGTTTTGGTTTAAAAGTTTCTTTGGCATTAGTTATTATAAGAGATTTTGTAATGCATCTATTTTCTGCTTATCATTGTGCTACTACAGTTATTTGTCATAATAAGAAATTTGTTTTTTTTTTGTCTAAACAATGCTTTCTTGTTCTATCTATATGCAGGAAAATCTACTCTTACCGATTCTTTAGTGGCTGCTGCTGGTATTATTGCACAAGAAGTTGCAGGAGATGTACGGATGACTGATACCCGACAGGATGAAGCTGAGCGTGGTATCACAATCAAGTCCACTGGTATATCTCTATACTATGAAATGTCTGAAGATGCTCTCAAGAACTTCAAGGGAGAACGCAATGGGAATGAATACCTCATCAACCTCATTGACTCCCCTGGGCATGTGGACTTCTCTTCTGAGGTTACAGCTGCCCTCCGTATTACTGATGGGGCACTTGTGGTGGTGGATTGTGTCGAAGGTGTCTGTGTCCAAACTGAAACAGTTCTCCGTCAGGCTCTTGGTGAAAGGATCAGGCCTGTTTTAACTGTTAACAAGATGGATAGGTGTTTCCTTGAGCTTCAGGTGGATGGAGAAGAGGCTTACCAGACATTTCAAAGGGTTATTGAGAATGCTAATGTGATTATGGCTACATATGAAGATCCCCTTCTTGGTGATGTTCAGGTCTACCCAGAGAAAGGAACTGTTGCCTTTTCTGCTGGTTTGCATGGCTGGGCTTTCACTCTGACCAACTTTGCTAAAATGTATGCCTCAAAGTTTGGAGTTGATGAGTCAAAGATGATGGAAAGGCTCTGGGGTGAGAATTTCTTTGATCCAGCCACCAAGAAATGGACCAACAAGAATACTGGTTCTCCTACATGCAAGCGTGGTTTTGTTCAGTTTTGTTATGAGCCTATCAAGCAGATAATTGCAACTTGTATGAATGATCAGAAGGATAAGCTGTGGCCTATGTTGCAAAAACTTGGAGTCACCATGAAATCTGAAGAGAAAGACCTGATGGGTAAAGCTCTAATGAAACGTGTTATGCAAACCTGGCTCCCAGCAAGTAATGCACTCCTAGAGATGATGATATTCCATCTTCCCTCCCCATCGAAGGCCCAAAAGTATCGTGTAGAGAACTTGTATGAGGGTCCCCTTGATGATCAATATGCAAATGCTATTAGGAATTGTGATCCTGATGGACCTTTAATGCTTTATGTCTCAAAGATGATTCCTGCATCTGACAAGGGTAGATTCTTTGCTTTTGGCCGTGTTTTCTCAGGTAAGGTCTCGACTGGTTTGAAAGTAAGAATTATGGGTCCTAATTATGTCCCTGGAGAGAAGAAAGACTTGTATGTGAAGAGTGTGCAAAGAACCGTCATTTGGATGGGAAAGAGGCAGGAAACTGTTGAGGACGTGCCTTGTGGTAACACTGTTGCTATGGTTGGATTGGACCAATTTATCACCAAGAATGCAACATTAACAAATGAGAAGGAAGTTGATGCACACCCAATTCGTGCTATGAAGTTTTCTGTCTCACCTGTTGTTCGTGTTGCCGTCCAGTGCAAGGTTGCATCAGACCTTCCTAAGCTAGTTGAAGGTCTTAAACGTTTGGCCAAATCTGATCCTATGGTTGTATGTACTATAGAAGAGTCTGGAGAGCATATTGTTGCTGGTGCTGGAGAACTCCACCTTGAGATCTGTTTGAAGGACTTGCAGGAAGACTTCATGGGTGGAGCTGAGATTATTAAGTCAGACCCTGTTGTATCCTTCCGGGAGACAGTCTTGGAGAGATCTTGCCGCACTGTGATGAGCAAGTCACCCAACAAGCACAACCGTCTTTACATGGAAGCCAGGCCCATGGAGGAGGGACTTGCAGAGGCTATCGATGATGGGCGTATTGGTCCAAGGGATGACCCCAAAATTCGTGCTAAAATTTTGTCTGAAGAATTTGGTTGGGATAAGGATCTTGCAAAGAAAATCTGGTGTTTTGGACCTGAGACCATGGGACCTAATATGGTGGTTGATATGTGTAAAGGTGTCCAATACTTGAATGAAATTAAAGACTCTGTGGTTGCTGGGTTCCAATGGGCATCAAAAGAAGGTGCATTGGCTGAAGAAAACATGAGGGCCATCTGCTTTGAAGTCTGTGATGTTGTTCTCCATGCTGATGCTATCCACAGAGGTGGTGGCCAGATCATTCCTACCGCTAGGAGAGTCTTCTATGCCTCCCAGTTGACTGCAAAGCCTAGACTTCTTGAGCCCGTTTACCTGGTCGAAATTCAGGCACCTGAGCAGGCTCTTGGTGGCATCTACAGTGTTCTTAACCAGAAACGTGGGCACGTCTTCGAGGAAATGCAGAGGCCTGGTACCCCATTATACAACATCAAGGCCTACCTCCCTGTCATTGAGTCCTTCGGGTTCTCGAGCACATTGAGGGCTGCAACATCGGGGCAAGCTTTTCCACAGTGTGTTTTTGATCACTGGGATATGATGTCCTCAGATCCATTGGAGGCTGGATCACAAGCTGCACAGCTTGTTGCTGACATTCGCAAGAGGAAAGGATTGAAGGAGCAGATGACACCACTTTCAGAATACGAGGACAAGCTTTAAATATTTTGACTTCCCGTTATGAATCTAGCTGATAATTTATGTAGAACCTTGGTACCGATGCTGTGTTTTTTAAAATTCAGATAATTGTGAGTTTTGTTCTGTTCTATTATCATTTAAATGTTTCTTTAAAAAAGCTTTTACTTCTCTGTTTAATTGGAAGTTATCCCCTTATGGGCTTGGTACTGTAGATAGTGACTCTGTTGCATTGACGTTGATTTAACTATTTATGGGAACTTTCAGTTAAAATTTAATTGTGTTTACTATTACTTACCTGGAAATTAAAATTTCAATGCTTTTATCAATCCTCTTTAGATTTGAATTATTTCTTTTATTTGGTCAGTGGGTTTGAATTATTTTTCGGTCCTGTCATTCGTGTTCTGTGACGGGCCGGTAGGGTCTACCATAAGCTCTTTTTGGCGTACGCGGTTCCAGTTCATTTGGAGAACCACAAACACTGTAATTTGGTCCTGTAATCTGAGTTCGTGCACGTAGAGCAGTTAATGGACCAAATGAATATGAATATAACTACGATTACCACAAGCAATCCTTGCCACTTTGGTGGAATCAGAGGTGCATCGAAAGGACAATATGGAGGTGAGTTGGATTTTGGTATATCCTAAATATTGTGAAGTGGATGGTGTTTGCCTTATCTTTCTCGATATTGCTTTCAATCAGCATTGAGCAGATCGTTTTTTCATTCTTAGCATTTTGTTGTTTCACTAGCTAGAAGAGGCAGAGGTTCTTTTTGCCTTGTAATGCGAACAATGATTTACTCTCTTTGTTTAAAAGCTTTTATCCGGATCATTTCAGTGCAAAAAAAAAATGTTATCAATTTTAAACATAATATATACCTCCGAGATAAAATGTTCATTCTGAAATAGAGATGTCGGTGCCAACCCAAAGGGAATATATTAAAAGGAGCGAAGCGTATGACCGCTTATTCCTTCAAAAATAAAACTCGAGCTTTCAAGGACCCTTTAAGAGTGGAGCTTGAAGGAAACATTAAAATGTTCTTAAAAGGGATTTCAATATCATCCCCATTTTAACTTTTTTTTGAAAAAGAAAATGAGTCAAATGAAAAATAAAACAATAAATAATGTCTAGACCGATGAAGAGCAAAAATACTTTCTATCCTATTTATAAGAAATATTAATTCGAATAAATTAATATTACTATTGTTCATTTTTAATATTTTAATATGCCTACTACTAAAAATTATATCACAAATTGATAAAGCTAATAAAATATTGTATAGTCAATATGTCAGTAACTAAGACTTATATAACTCATTGGATGTATATGCGCGTTTGGAACGGAAAAAAATTTTGCGGCGAGAATTATTCAAAAAAAGGACTTCAATTTTCTGCCTAACTTTCGCTTTTTTGAGCCATTACTTGCACTTTGATCATCAGTTTATGATGTACTTGGGACAAGTTAATCTTGAAGTGAGAAGTCCAAACAACAGCAACAGTTGAACTGAGATACGTCTAACGTATATAATAAAATGGTAACATCCAGCATTTATCATCACCATTAAACAAGACCAGCTACATTAATATACAAGGTCAATATTTATCAATACAAACTTCGTGATTATTTCTATTTCAACCTATAATTCTACTCGAATTTCCCCCCATCCACATAATATATAGATTGAACCTATGACACTTTATTCTTAACATCAATATAAAAAGGTAATACAAGAGTGTATCAGACCAAACACCGAAAGTGTTGCTTCTAAAGATGGCTTATATGGACACCATTCACTGTTAACCCACCATCAGCAGGAATTGTCTGTCCTGTAATGTAAGAGGCTGATGGTAAGCAGAGGAATGCCACCAAAGAAGACACCTCATTTGCCTCTCCTATCCTCCCAAGAGGGGTTCTTGAAATGAAAGCATTAAGAAGTTTTTCATCTTTAAAGTGCCGCAAGGAAATAGTAGTAATTCAGTCCAGAGAAAAGTAAAGAAATGACAAAAGAATACACCAAGACTAATTTGGTGGAAGTTGCTTAAAAACAAGTAACTATAGTATAATGAATTATATAGGGTAAAAGTTGTTGATATTAAAAAAAAATGAGTTTCAATCGAAAGACGCAATTGTTACATAACCAAAAAATAAAATAAAATGGGACACACACATTTATAAATTAAAAGCAAGAGAAAATTATATATATTTTTCTTTCTCTTCTAATTACAAGGATAAAAGTATTCTAACATCAACAATAGAAAATTACCTTCTCTTTGGCCCACTCACATGCCAAATTTTCAGTCAGTTGGTTGATTACTCCTGCATGTTAATTACATATTTGAAAATTACCAGTTGCATAACTCTTCCACAGGAAATATGATGAATTGATGATGAAACAATCACGTTTGGTTGCACCATATATGGATCCTACATTGATTGATACCACACCAGCAATGGAGGATACAAAAATGATGCTTGCAGTCTCTGAAGCTTATAGAAGAGGATGCACTAGCTGGCTTATGTGGAAAGCAGATTCAAGATTCGTATTGAGTAGAAATGATAATTCTTCCTCTGTAAAATCCACGGTCTGTTTATAAATGTTTGTTCCCACATTGTTGACCTAAATCCGTACACAATGTAAGCCTATATACTAAAAACATTAACCAAAACAATATACTGCAGAATATTTAGTTAACAAAATATTTATTAAGAAAAAGGTGGAAAAATTGATACAATTTCATGTCATCCAAATCAATTAATAACTCACAAGGATATTGAGTTTGGCATTAGACTTTAGTTAATAAATTCGACTCACTTTATTTGGTAAAATATGTATGTTTTTCTCCAACATAAATATGTTTTGTTACTCAGTACTATGTGACAATTCAAATATACTGTTTTCATAGGAGATACTTTTAGTTTTAGAAAAAATGTTATGTAATTATTCTAAAAATAATCAATTCTATTTTAAAAATATAAACTAACCACATAAAACTATTAATTACCTTGGAGATATATGAAAATTAATCATTAGAATACTTATCGTTCAAATTGTTGATGTATGCGCTTGTAATGCGGAGGAAAATACAGAGGAATAATATTCTTTTCTTTATTAATTTTTATAATATTTTTCATACTCATTTTGTTTTCTTAATTTTTTTTTCATTACATCACTTATCTAAAACCCGTAAATATTTTGCGTGTGTAACAATGCCACAAACACTTTGGCAGCAGGTTGCTGCTCTCAGAGATTGCTAAATGAGTCCCCATGTGCATCTGACGCTATAGGCAAATTGAGATCAAAACGCGGTCGCTTCGAAGAGCTGGCACCGTTGTCTCCGTTGGGGTGCAGAAAGCTATCTAACTAGAGTCTAGAGCTCCTCTAGGCCCAATAGACTGAGACATCCCCCGGATTTAACTCAGAGCTTAAAATCTCTGTTAAAAAGGAGGATAAGTGTGATAGTCATCATAATCAAAGTGAGTAAGACTTTTACAACTATAAATACAACCACAAACAATACCCAATCCTCTTCTACTGAAATTTTTTCTATTCTCTTAAACTCACCAATTTCATTACCAAAAAGTTGTGTCAGAATTTGTTAAGTCCACAGTGTTTTCAGAAGAAAAAAGTCTCTGGCCAACAAGATCAATTTGTTGATCCTCAGAAAACAGTCTCCCATTAAAGAGTATGTCAAATCTACCAGAATGGATCAATGTGAATTACCTGCCACTCAAAAGAGCAATATATTGATCTTGAGATCCCTAAGACATTTATAGATCACTGGAAGACTGAGGGATATACTGCTCTATACTTTGGAACAATCAGATTAGTCCTATCTCTGCATGGTAGGAAAAATCTTCTAGTTACTGTCAGAATTTCTCTTCTTGATACCACTTATATCCACTATGAGCATGCTGTTATAGCCACTTTGCTAACCACCCTTCATGCTGGAAGTGTGGTTCTCACTATTTTCTCAAACTACAATGTCTCTTTGAAAGACAAGACTCTCCCAACTAGGTTGAAGGTTCGAATTCAACTTACTGGAGCTGAGTAGATTGAAGAAGCTCTATCTGCAACTCTTCATCATCAAATGATTTACAGGCTATAGAATCATGCTTATGATCTTCCTCTTCCAGGAATGGTTAATGACAACCTTGTTGTTATTGCCAACAGAAATGAGGATGAAGTTCTTTCTATCATTCAAGTTCCCAGACAAATTCCTAGAGAAGAACTTCTCAAGCTAATTCCTCTTGAATGGACAACCAATTATGAGAAGATCAAGAAAAATAACAAACTAATTCAGTCCTTTGAAGCCACTTTCAGAAGATCTATAGCTGGTGGTGTTCGGACTATATTCAAAAAGTTAGAAGATGAACCTAGCCAGTTCTCCAATTGTTTTCAATCAATGATGGTTATTCCAGTTGAGGGAGAAGACATAATTCTATTATACAGTTTCAAATCTGATGGATCTTCTATCTTTTCAGATAAATTTGATGGTCATTTCATGTAGGATGTTGATTCTTCTAAGTGTGATCCTGACTATGATTGTTGGATGCATACTAGTGATACATCTGATGAAGAATCAGATGATGATGATGAAGAGAATTCAAAGAAGAAAAAAAAAAGAAACCTTGCAAACCACCTCCTCAACCTAGAAGGAGAGACCCTGGATTTACTCCATAGGTAGGAATAAGGAAAGAAAGAAAGCCTCCTCCTATTTATGAGGAAGCCCTTGAAATCCTGAAAAAAGAAGGACTTTTATCTAAGCCTCCTAGTGATGCTGATTTGATCACTTGGCCGCCTCCTCCAAGACTCTGCAATTCTTTCATCTCTTCTCCAGAAAAAGTTCAAAGTCTCATTCCTTGCATGATGTTTTCAAAATATGATGAAGAATTTCCTTCACTTGAAAGGAAAGTTGATCCTGTCACTAAGGTCAATACCAGGCCATTAGTGATACCCTCTGAAGTCCAATTTGATGGAGTTCTGAAAATTTCATCTTAGGCTGAAGAAGTTCTCAACTGGCAAACTGAGAATTCTCTAGCCCAAAACAAACTTTTGAAAAAGATAGATGGAAAAATAGACCAGATTGCTGAATCTGTCCACAAGAATGATAAAAAACTTCAATACCTTTATGATAAACTCAAAAAGTATTACAAAAAATCTCAAAACCAAATTGCTAGATTGAAGTTAGATATCTCAAAACTGACTAAAGAAAAGGCCATGTTTACAGGAGAATATCATAAAAAAGATAAAGAGATCAGGAGACTCAAAGAGCAGATCAAAGAAATGGATGAATTGATTTATGCAAAACAACAAAATAGGGATCATGAACTAAATCCCCTTTTTTGTACCATCTCCTGTTCAATCGACTTATTATTCTCCTTTCAGTCCATCTCTTTTTTACTCTAGGAAAACGTTCATAGCACCTTCATACTCTCTTCCTTCAGCTTATAGGCCAAAACCTTAAGTTCTTCAGATGATGATCAATCCCCTCTTCCAAAGAAATCCTCAAAAACTAGCCCATAAAAGACCTTTTTCCAAGGATTAGTAACTGAGAGAGAAAATATTACTGAAGAATCTGATTATAGCTTATCTGAAGAAGATACAACCACTGAATTCTCTAGAACTTCTAATCTTGATTCGTAGAGCAATTCAGAAATATTTGAAGAACCGTCTGAGACAATTTCGACAGAAACATCAGAAATATCAGAAAATAATTTCACTGACATTACTAGAATGATGATGGTTTATACTGCTGAGTCCAACAATGTTAAAGGATCTTTTTATAATTCTCAAGAAGATGAAGATGAAGAAGTAAATAAAAGAGATAAAAAAGGCTCCAAACTCAATGGAGGTCCTTATTTTACTCTTGATGATGTTTCTCCTCAGCATTGGAGGAAAAGATTACTCGATTTTGGTGCATGGCTTGATACAAAATTCATGAAGACGGATGTTGAACCATATAAAGTCATTGAAGAATTTTGTTGCAGAAGGATTGGCTCTCTGAAAGAGTGGTACCACAATCTTGGAAGTGTCAAACAAGACCAGTTTCATCAATTATCCAATACACGTTCTGTCCTTGGAGCGATACACCAAGAGTTTGTAGGAGATATGAATCTTTATGATAAGAAAGTCAGGCAAGATTATTTTGAGATAAAGTGTTGCTCATTAAAGAAAAGTCATCTGAACAAGCACCACAAAAGAATGGTGGAAAGTTTTTATCTTCTTAATGGATACAATGATACAAGTCTCAAAAACACCTATGTTGCTTCTCTTCCTTAGGAATTAAAACCTGAAATTCACAAAATGATTACGGCCCAAGGAATAGACTTAACTAATTTGAGTCTTGAACAAATCTACCAGATGACTATTGAAGCTTTTGATAAACTTTGCAGACAACATTTATTTTTTACAGATGTCATAAATCAAAGATCAAAATTCACAAAAGCCTACAAGAAGAATTATCTTGAGATCTGATGCAAAGACAAGAAATGTGTTTGTTCATCCAAAAAGAAAGGAAAGATCAAGAAGTTTTCGAAAAAGAAGAAGAAGAAAAATGAAATTTTTCGAAAAAAAATCAAAAAGGGGAAAGAATAAAGGCACCAGATGCTTCATATGTGACAAAAAAGGGCATTTCGCCAAAAAATGTCCCAATAAAGATGTCAAAGCTCAAAATTTGGTAAATTCTTTAGACCCTTTTGAAGGAGATATTGAATCAGAATATTCTGAACAAGAAGAAGCTGACCAAGACACTGTTTTTGCCATTCAAGACTCCTCTGATGATTCTTCAGAATCATCTGATAGAGAAAGTGGTTTTATACCTCTTTATTCGGCCTAAGAAGTCAATAGCCTTACTCTAACCTTATCACAACCTTGTGTTGAAGTTCAACTCCTTTCTTCAAAATTTGCTACACCCATCAAAGCTATTGTTTACATGGATCCTGAAGCACAAAGAAAAATGATAAATCCAGACATTCTTTCCAAAGAAGTCTAGAGAAAAGATTCCTCTTTATTTGTAACTGCTAATGGGAAACTTTTCAAAACCAATTTGGTCTCAAAGAAGCCAATTGGTATTAAACTTTTTCCAGACTGTTTAGTTTGGATGAAAGTTATAGGAAGCCATCTTCCTAACAAGGATATTCTTTTTGGTATGGATGCATACTATCCGATGGAAAAGCTTTAGATATTACCAAAAGGAATTAAATTCAAAAGAAACTTCAAGTCATACACTGATATACTGAAACTTTATTCTCTTGAAGAATGTCCAGAAGATTATGATGAAATAAAAGAGAAACTAAAAAAATTATATGTAGAAGGACATAATCCTGTTTGGCATAATCTAGAATTCTTTGTTTAGCTTCCTTTTAAACTCAATGAAGATATCAATCCTACAAAAGTCACTCATCCTGTAGTGAATCCTAGTGACCTCCATTTGTCTAGACAAGAATGCAATGAACTATTAAGGCAAGGATTGATTGAACCAACAAAGTCTGAATGAGCATGTCAAACATTCTATGTGGAGAAAAGGTCAGGAAAATTAAGAGAAAAAAAAAATTAGTAATTGACTACAAACCATTAAACCATTTCCTCAAAGATGATAAATTTTCTGTTCCAAAGACCTCTTCTCTTTCCACACTTATAAAAGAAGCCATGATTTTTTCAAAGTTTGATTTAAAATATGATTTTTGGCAATTGGGGATAGATTCAACAGATAGATACAAAACTGCTTTCTGTATTCTCAATGCTCAATATTAATGGAAAGTACTTTCATTTGATTTAAAGGTTGCACCGTCTTTATTCCAAAAGGCCATGACAAGAATCTTTGAGTCTATCTTAGACAGTATTCTCATTTACATTGATGAGGTACTCCTATTCTCCAAAGATAAAGAATCTCATAAGATTCTTCTGAATAAATTCTTTGAACTTGCTGATCATCATGGAATCATATTGTCTGAAAAGAAGATACAATTGGCTCAATCCTAGATAGATTTTTTGAGAATGCATTTTTCTAAGGGAAATTATCAACCTCAACCTTATATTGCAGAAGAATTGCTTAATTTTCCTGATGAAAATTTTACTGTCAAACAGATCCAACAATTTTTAGGGGTCTTGAATTATATTAGGGATTTTATTCCTAATGTTGCTAAATATACAAGTCATCTATCAAAGCTTTTAAGGAAAAACCCTTCACCAGACTGAAGCTGTTCGTCATTTGAAACAGATAGCTCAAAATCCTCCACCATTAAAAGTTCTTGGAGAAGGAAAAAGGATCTTACAAACTGATGCCAATGATCATTACTGGGGAGCTGTTCTGTTAGAAGAAATAAAGGGGAAAAAGGCTTATTGTGGACGTGCTAGTGGACAATTCAAAGAATCAGAGAAGCATTATCATACTACATTCAAAGAAGCTCTGGTAATAAAAAAATGAAATCCAAAAATTTGATTTCTATTTAAGAGGACACAATTTTGAAGTTCAAATGGATAATTCCTCTTTTCTAGCTCTTCTTGAGTTCAACAACAAAATGTCTCCTGATCCTCAAATTCTTAGGCTTAAGAATTAGTTCTCCAGGTATGATTTTACTGTTAAACATATCAAAGGAGAAAAGAATATTGTCCCTGATCTATTATACAAACCAAAAAAGCCTATCTCCATTATCACCTCTGCACATAGTTATCCACTAATATTCCCACTCAACATAACTGAAGCAAGTACAAGTTACCAACCTCTTTAGGTCTTTCCACCTGAGTTGAATAATGATTATTTCCTCACCATAGAATACATCAAAGATTTTGCTCGAAATCATATGTTCCATTACCTAGCTCTTTCTCTTCATAACCATGGTGTCAAACCAAAATCTTCATGGTTCCATCCTGATGCTCCTTATCTAAATATTTTTGCTTTATTAATGGAGTTTCCTATGATTGAAGAAGAACTTTGGTATTTATAGTGTGTCACTCTCTTATTTCATTATCTCATAGTTTTTCCCACATTCAAGATGTTTGAATTTCTTAATAATCCTCAGCCTGGGTCATCCCTGTTATGGAAATTCTTGACCTGGTTCCAACCTATTCAGTATTGGAAGAAAAGATATTCAGTCTGAAATGGAAGGAGTCTGTATTTGGAAAGAAATTAATTTACCTCCTCTTGAGTTTTCAAAAAATATTACTGTGGTAATTATTCATAGACCTTATTTCAAATATCCAGTTTCCAAATTAATATATACTTAAAATCAAGTTAGATTTTGAAACACTTATGGAAGTATAAGGGATATAGCAGAACTAGAAAGACCACCATTTCATCAGGCTGATGTGATTACTCATCTCCATGTTGAAAATGGAGCCTAGGAGGAAATGATTAAAGTAAACTCCACATGTACAAAGTTAAAATCTATGGATATTATCTGCCTTCCAGATCCTTGTGATCAAAATATGTGGAACAAAGTCTAATAAGTAATTCCACCTTTGATCTCTTCCAGCATTACTTTTGAAAATTGAGAAAGAGAAAGTCATGTCATAATTAGTGGTGGAGCTGAATCATCACATGCTATTGATACAATAATAGACTCTCAGGATCCATACGAATCTGTAATGGATCCGGAAGGATGGGGAACTAATGATGACCCAAATTTGTCTCCAAGCCATGAGCCTATCTGCAAGGACTGAAAAATATCCAAAAAGTAACTTTATGTAATAAAGCATCTTTATGTATTATGTTTTTAGTGTAACTTATATGTACTAAAAGTTTTCTTCTTTGTTTGCTTGCTCAAAGGCACTTTATAAAAGGTTGGATTCTTATCCAAACCTGTCTCTTATAATAATTATGTTTGTTTTCATCCTCTATATATTGAAGAACTCTTGCCCTTTAGTGGCAGACCGAATTGAAAATAAAACTTGTGTTTTCATATGTCATGAGTTCTTTTTAAATTTCTTTCTGAAAGCTTTGCTTATGATGACTATCCTCTAGTCCCTGACTAGAAGTAAGTATGCTTTGATAGATTAAATTGGCATGAGTATAAAAAAAATGCATGTAGATTTACTTAAAGTATTAGAAAGTGCCATAGAATTTTATTTCTGTTATTATATTGAAGGCTTTCGATTACTTGTACGTTAATATTCAATTTAACAGTTTTTTATAACAAGTTAGAATCTGTTTACTCTATCATTAAAATTGACTTTACAAAAAGTCAAACATGATTGTAACAGTCTATTATTTTAATTTGCGTAAAAATAACTTTATAATTGTATTCAAATCAATCTTGAAATGAGAAGTATATATAAACGATGAAAGTTGAACTGATATACGTCTACCATATAAAAATAGACGTATTTTAATTATCTATACTTAAGTTTTATTATATATATATATATATATATATATATATATATATATATATATATATATTCTCTTTTTATACATCATATCAAAACCAAAAAAACAAAGCTCTCCGGTGTCCAAACACGATTTTTGTATTTATGCATGGCCAACTACATATTACATACCCATAAAGAAAAAACATGTTACACACGGTCAATAATATTAAGACAAACTTCAATTTATTCTTATCATTGATATAAAAGCAAACTCAAGTGGGAGCGTAATGCACCAAGCACCGAAAATCTTGCTTCGAAGCCTAGCTTATATAGATAGTATTCACTGTTAACCCGCCATCAACACAGATTGTTTGTCCTGTAATGTAAGAGGCTGCTGGTAAGCATAGGAATGCCACCAAGGAAGACACCTCGTTTGAATCTCCAATCCTCCCAAGAGGGGTTCTTGAAGTGAAAGCATTATTAAGTTTTTCGTCTTTGAAGTGCTACAAAGAAATAATGACAAAATACCCTTAGTCCCGAATCAAGTAAACAAATGACAAATAAGTAATACAAATACATACACTAACATTAACAATAGAAAATTACCTTGTCACCTGTAGGGGTTCGGATTGCCCCTGGTGCAACACAATTAGTCCTTATATTATCTTTGGCCCATTCACATGCCAAATTTTTGGTCATTTGGTTCATTGCTCCTGCATGTCAATAATGTGTACTTTAATTACTTATCTACTTCTTCTTAGGCTCTTACCCTCTAACTCTTTCCCAGGAAATAAACAATTACCTTTTGTTGCACTATACACAACGGATCCTACATTTATGGATGCCACACCAGCAATGGAGGATATGAAAATGATGCTTGCAGTTTCTGAAGCTTTTAGCAAAGGATGTGCTAGCTGGCTTATATGGAAAGCGGATTCAAGATTTGTATTCACCAGAAATGAGAAATCTTCCCCTGTGTATTCCATGGTCGGTTTCTGAATGTTCGTTCCCACATTGTTCACCTAAATCCGTACGTAAATGTAAGCTCAATACGGAAAAAAAAAAACAGATAAAATAATAAAAAATAGATTCCGAATTAATGTTTGAAAAATGTTTCATGTAACACTAAAAGTAGTCATGTTTAAATATTTTATTTTATATTAAGGGTACGTTTTTCTCCTGCATATATGTATATATAAAAAATTAAGGTTTTAATGTATTTTTAGATCATATTTTAACAACTTTTTTATCTTATTTTTTCAAACAACTTTTTTTATGTTTTAATTTTAAATTTTTATGATTTTTTTTTGTCTTTAACTCTTATTTTTTATTTGATTAAGTAAGATGCTGTCATTTTTTTTTTATTGAACTATATTAATTATAGAAAATAAAAATAAAAATTTATTAAAATATTAGAATTTAAAAAATATTTAGAATGACTAAAAAAAAATTAACTAAAAGGTAAGACGAAAAATATATTTAAGAAAAAAAAAAATAAAGTAAGTACAAGATAAACCTATTTAATATCCATTTCTATATCGAATTTTAGTTGTTTAAACAGTGGAACTGTTAATCCTAAATCTTATCTTCTTACATTCAATTCCATACCATTATACTATAGGCAGAAGAGAAAATTTGAACAAAAGAGGGAAAAAATAATAATAAAAGGTAAATATAATAAATATAAGAGTAAAAGTATAAACAATGTTAAACGAATTTCTCACTAGGATATCGAGTTTGCCATTAAACTCAGATGAGACTCTAGTTATGAGCTCCTCTCTGTTTGCACGAGATGACACGTCACAAACTGAACCCATAACTTTGTATCCTTTTGTAGCCCATTCATGTAATGATTCATTGAGTTGAGAATGATTCCGAGAGCAAGTGTAAACAGTGGCCCCAAGCTGTGCCAGCTCCTCCACAATAGCATATCTAGTAAGAACAAATTGGAGGAACGGTGAGAAACATGTCTAATGCAAGACCCACATTTTTTAAATGTTGTTCATATATTGTCGTTGGCTGACTAAAGAGTGTTGTAAAAATATTGAATGGAAATAGAATTATCATAACATGTTAGCTGTGTAGTTTATACAAATTACCCAACAATTTATAAGCCTTATATGTCCTAGATCTAGCTTTGTTGTTAATTGATACTTGACAAATTAACCAAATTAACGGGCACATATTTCAGTAACAACTTTCAGAATTTACTATATATATATATATATATATATATAGCAGGAACAAAAAAATAATCAACAAAAAGAAGGTAGAAGAGTGGAAGAGAGTAACCCTATTCCTTGAGATCCCCCAGTGACCAAAGCTGTCATCCCCTGTAAAGACCACCTGCTACCTATGTTTGCCTCAGCCATTTATCCTTAATTTCTCTGCAATTTACTATTGGCCTCTAAAATATCTGATACTTCACATATGTACCTTCCCAAATGTCATATATATAGTTTTTCAGAGAGTTAAAACGGGGGGCTATCTTAGTGGTTTTCATATGATATATTTTTAACATAAACTTTTGGAATCAAAATTAAAATGAAAAATTATTATTGGACCATCTATTAATAAGTTGCATTTACTTTTGAAAAGTTATATACTTTTCTTAAAATGAAAATTTTATCATTGTCTTTAGCACACTCCTTTATCTTTCGTTCAAAAAGCATTCAGCATCTAACCATATTGGTAGTAAAATTTTCACTAGGAACTTGCTTTCTGGCTAGGGCATCTAAAACAAAAACAAACACAGGATGTATGTTGACATTACAACGAATGATGATGAGGTGGGAAGGCTTAAATTATCTTTTGTCAGTCGCCAGTCGTCATTGATGATCAAACTTTAGGTAATGTGTAGGATAAGAGATCTTACATTTTGAATTAAAATTATTTTGAAATAAATTGTTAAGAATAAGACTTTGGTAAAGGTTTATTAATATTTAACTTTTTAGAAGTATATAATTTATTTGCAATCAATTGTTATAAAAAAAAGGTTTAGCAATTTTACAGCAGTCAATTACTATAAAAGAGTTCACTTCTACTTATGAAGGTAAAAAAAATTATTCTTATTATCGCAAAGAAAAATGTTAACGGTTAAGAAATTAAATATAATACTTTTATTAAAAATATTATTCATGTACTTTATTATTATTTTTGTTATACTTTTAATATTTTATTTTTAATCAAAATTTTTATAATAATGTAAGGTTAGTAAGATCCATTCACAAATCAATATTTTTAATACTCTTTTATGCTTATAATATTTTTATCAAGCATGGGAAACTTTTATTCTTGTGTCATGTTTTTTTACAAAGAAAATGCCTTAGAAAATCCCACTGTCATGTTTTATACTTTGATGATATATCAAAATAAATGTAAATGATTTTAGAAAATAAAAATAGAAATTAAAATATGTATCAATATATTTTCCTCTCTACAAAAAAAAAAAGGATCAATATAACTCTTTTGTTTCAATTTTATGATTTAATTACTATTATAATTAAACTTTATTAAATTCAAATTAATTTAGAAGGCTTTATTATATTACTGAATTCTACCCCTCAAGGAAATATAAATTTTCTTTTCAAATTAGAGACGGCTGTGGTATTACTATAGATAGTGAATGGTTTTTCTTTTGCCACTGAATATAGACATATGAATCATTACTAACGTTGTATTTTCGAACAATTCAAACTCGACTGCTCTTTACCTAGGACGTGACATTGATGCTTACATGATAATGTTTATAACTTATACTTTAAGAACAGTTTAGATTCCTTTTATGATAACAACTAACAAGTAATTAATATACCAGACAAAGTTACATCTGGCTGCGCCTCGTTGCAATACCAATAAACACAATTGAATGATGTCATATTATTGTATATTTTCTGAATTTTTTATAATTTTTTAAAACAAAATTATATATAATAATATATCCAATTGCCTTCGAGATTGACATCAGATTACTCTTTACTCGGTAAATCTGACTTAACTTGACTATATACAAAGATATAAAATGAGTGAAGATTAAATTAGGTGTGTAATTTAAAAGATTATTGAATAACTCATAGGCTAATAAACTAATTTATTTGACAGAAATAAGCTATTATAAGTGTTTAGTTAGTGTGCTTTAACGTCCCAACTTAAAAATTCTAACTTGATAAGCTATTGAATGATTGAATTAATAAAATAAAAGGTTTAATACGCGTTATTTTACTATATATATATAATGCAACAGCTTAGAGTCAATCTCAAAGTGAGAAAAGATGTATAAACCAGAAAAGTTGAACTGATAGACGTCTACATTGTATAAATGATACTACATCAGATATTTATTCAATATCAACTACATATTATACACGGTCAATAATATTACAAAAACAAACTTCAATATTTTTAGTATAGGAAATTTCAACCATCCAAATGATATAAATTGAACCTAGGAGACTACGCTCTTTATTAATTTATTCTTAACAATGATATAGAAGCAAATTCAGACCAAACACCAAAAGTCTTGCTCTTAAGCCTAAATACCATTCATTATTAACCCGCCAAAAGTCTGCACCTTATGTAAGATGCTGCTGGCAAGAAGAGGAATGCCTCCAAAGAAGACACTTCATTTAGTTCTTGATAAATATGTAATTAGACTCCTTTTTTACAGCAATTATGATTGACATTTATTTTAATTGAGTTTTATAATAATTTATATATTAATTATGTAGTTTATTATAAAGAGACCAAAAGTAAATTTTAAGTGCATTTTAAATCCAAAATCGATGAAAAATTAAAACTTTGTAGGAGTCAACATGTTTAGGCTCTTTTATCAAGCACAACAGTGTTTCGAACCCATACACGACTGTGCTTAAAGCTTTGTATGGTCATGTTTATTTTGAGAAGTTTAATTATATAAAGAGCTTTTAGGATTTTCAAACCTTATAAAAGAGGGACATTAGACATCTTGTTTTGACACCGTTGACATTTTATCTTTTATTCTTCGATACATCTTTCATTTCGTTTTTCTTACACGAGATTGATAACATATTTTTACAGAATTTGACGCTTCAAGCGATCGTACTTAAAGACTGAAAAATCATCTTTTTCTAATTTACTTTTCTTTATAACTTTGTTTACGATTATTTTAGTTTTTGAATATTTGTTCCCACATTACCTAAATCCATATGAAAATGTAAGTCTAATATGACAACAAATCCTAATTAAAAAATAGATTTTGAATTAATACTTGGAAAATGTTTCATGTAATTAACAAACTAAAGTGGATACCTTTTGATATTCCTTTTATGTTTTAAGGGAATATTTTTAGGGTGCATAAATACAAATAAATAAAAAATAAAAATAATGATATATAATATCACATACCATATTAATTATTAATGTTTTAAATAGTGAAATTGCTAATTCTCAGTCCTAACTTTCTTACACTTATATTTAACCCAACATTTATCTTACTCTTATGAAAAATAAAAATAATGATAGAAGAGTGGAAGATAGTACCCTATTCCTTGAGATCCCCCAGTGACCAAAGCTGTCATCCCCTATAAAGAGCACCTGTTACCTATGTTTGCCTCAGCCATTTCTCCTTAATTTCTCTGCAATTTACTTTTGGCCAATAAAAGATTTGATACTTCACTCTTCTACCTTTCCAATGGATTATATGTAGTGTGTTTGGGGAGAGAGTACAGAGTTAATAGGGGAACTGCTATCTTAGTGATCTTCATATGACATTTTTAACATAAACATGTGGAATATAAATGAAAATGAAAATTAGTTTGGAACCTTCTAATAACAAGTTGTATTTACTTTTGAAAATGTTATATACAATACTTAAAATGAAAATGTTATCATTATCTTTTTCACCTTTTGATCTTTCGTTTAAAATCATACATCCAATCATAATGTTTAGGTAACAAATCTTTCATTTTTAATTAAAACTATTTTGAAACGGAATTGTTAAGAATAAGACTTTTGGAAAAAAAGTTTATAAACTATATTAGCTACTATTTACTTTTTAGTAGTATTTAAATTATTTACAATCAATTGTTTATATACTTTGATGATATATAAAAATAAATGTTAATAATTTTAGAAAATCAAAATATGTATCAAAATAAATTTGTGATTTTATAATTTAATTACCATTATAATTAAACTTTATTTAATTCAAATTAATGCTGCATTACTAAATTCCATCTTTAACTTGGGGAAATATAGAATTTTTCTTTTCAAATTTAGACGGCTGTATTACTATCGATAGTGAATTATTTTTCTTTTGCAGTGTATATAGACTTAGGAATCATCTTCGACCACTCTCGACTAACATTATATTTTCGAACAATTCAAAGTCGATTTCTCTTTTACCTGGACATGACATTGATCCTTACAGAATAATGTTTACAACTTTTACTTTAAGAACAATTCAAATTCCTCTTCCTTTTATGATAACAACTCAGTGTTTACAGAAAAAGTTACATTTGACTGTGCCTAAAACAATTGAATGATGTCCATCACACTATTTTCTCCGATTTTTTCATAATCATTTAAATTAAACTATACATATTTATAGACCCAATTACTTTCAAGTTAGACATTAGAATTTTCATTTTACAACTTGATGAACCTTTGCAGATAAATCAATATATTTCATATAAATTAATAGGCACCATTAAGAAAAAATTAGAATACATACCCGTTTCCTAAATCTAAACCAATTGATTTATGATGGGTTGATTGGTTTAGGACATATGTGAAAAATAATAACTTAACTCAACTCTCTGTATTAATTTTAATTGCATTCAAGCAATTTTTTCATCCATATCAACGTAACGTGTAAAACCGCCCCTAGACTATTTCTTTTATGACAAATATACTATCGAAATGAATGTATTATCATTCATAATAATATACTGAAATTATTTAAAATTCTATCTAACATGATTTTATCCTGTTTTTGTGTATGTGTTAATTAAGATCAATGACACCTAATGATAATACATTTAATATTTTTTTTTATTAAAACTAAATTTTATCAATTCAATTATTTATTCTTGTAATATTATCATAAAATGTACACATAAAATTTTATATAATTTAGACATTTATAAATATAAAACTTAATTATAACTATTTGTTTATATTTTAAATGATATATCTTCTATTAAAATATATTAAACCACAATATATTAATTAATATTTAAAAATAGTGTAAAATTTTATAAACATAGTTTATTTTACAAGAATTTTATGATTGAATCAATAAAGTTAAATTTTAATTACAAAAAATATTAAAAATTTCATTTAACACGCGCGCGTGCGGGGTTGACAAAATTTGCCGGTTATAATAGCATTCTGG